TACATTCAAAATAGTAACAGGAATTGATAAAATCGATAGGGACCTGCACAACTGCAAGAAAAATGACAGGTTGGATAACAAGAACTTTTCACACTAGAGATGCTATACCGATGATGATACTTTTCAAAACGCTTGTGCTCTCTAGAGTGGAGTACTGCTGCACAATGACAGCCCCTTTCAAAGCTGGAGAAATTGCTGACCTGGAGAGCGTGCAGAGATCCTTTACTGCTAGAATCCACTCAGTAAAACATCTAAACTATTGGGACCAACTAAAGCGCAGGCGGGAGAGGTACATAATAATTTACACGTGGAAAATATTGGAGGGGCTGGTTCCAAACCTGCACACAGAAATAACACCACATGAGACCAGAAGACATGGCAGGATGTGCAGAATACCCCCGTTGAAAAGCAGAGGTGCAACAGGTACTCTGAGAGAGAACTCTATCAACATCAGAGGCCCGAGACTGTTCAACACGCTTCCACTACACATAAGGGACATAACTGGCCGACCCCTCACAGTGTTCAAGAGAGAACTGGATAAGCACCTCCAAAGGATACCTGATCAACCAGGCTGTGACTCATACGTCAGGCTGTGAGCAGCCACGTCCAACATCCTGGTTGATCAGTCCGGCAACCAGGAGGCCTGGTCGACGACCGGGCCGCGGGGACGCTAAGCCCCGGAAGCACCTCAAGGTAAGGAAGATTTCCTGAGACCTGGAACTTTAAGAACAAGAGGTCATAGATTTAAACTAGCTAAACACAGATGCTGAAGAAATATAAGAAAATTCACTTTCGCAAACAAAGTGGTAGACGGCTGGAACAAGTTAGGCGAGAAGGTGGTGGAGGCCAAGACCGTCAGTAGTTTCAAAGCGTTATATGACAAAGAGTGCTGGGAAGACGGGACACCACGAGCGTAGCACTCATCCTGTAACTACACTTAGGTAATTACACCAAGAAGTACTACATGTGAGTCACACCATGGAGCGCTACATGTGAGTCACACCATGGAGCACTACATATGAGTCACACTATGGAGCACTACATGTGAGTCACACTATACAACAAGTCACTGGTAACAGGTAAACTGCCAAAAATTTGGAAGACAGCCAATGTAGTCCCAATATACAAGAAGGGTGGTAGGCAGGAGGCACTGAACTACAGGCCAGTGTCCTTAACTTGCATTCCATGCAAGATGATGGAAAAGATTGTGCGAAAAAAGCTAGTGGAACATCTGGAGCAAAAGAACTTTGTAACACAACATCAACATGGGTTCAGAGATGGCAAATCATGCCTAACAGGATTGAGTTCTATGACCAGGCAACAAAAATCAGGCAAGAGAGAGAGGGCTGGGCAGACTGCATATTTCTGGACTGCCAGAATGCTTTTGACACAGTACCACATAAGAGACTAGTGCACAAACTGGAGATGCAGGCAGGAGTGAAAGGGAAGGTACTCCACTGGATAATAGAGCACCTAAGCAACAGGACACAGCGAGTCACCGTGAGAGGTGAGGTCTCGGAGTGGCGGGGAGTCACCAGTGGAGTCCCACAGGGATCAGTCCTTGGACCTATACTGTTTCTGATATACGTAAATGATCTTCCAGAAGGAATTGACTCGTTCCTCGCGATGTTTGCTGATGACGCGAAAATTATGAGGAGGATCAGGACAGAGGAGGATAGTATGAGGCTACAAGATGACCTAGACAAACTGAAGGAATGGTCCAACAAATGGCTACTAAAGTTCAACCCAAGTAAATGTAAGGTAATGAAACTAGGAGGAGGAACTAGGAGGCCAGTCACTGGATACCGAATGGGAGATGAAGTCCTTCACGAAACGGACAGAGAGAAAGATCTGGGAGTTGATATCACGCCAAACCTGTCTCCTGGAGCCCACATCAAAAGAATAACATCAGCGGCCTATGCGAGGCTGGCTAACATCAGAACTGCTTTCAGAAACCTGTGTAAGGAATCCTTCAGAACCTTGTATACCACATATGTAAGGCCAATTCTGGAGTATGCAGCCTCAGCATGGAGTCCGTACCTAGTCAAGCACTAGACGAAGCTGGAAAAAGTTCAGAGGTATGCCACTAGGTTAGTCCCAGAACTAAGAGGCATGAGTTATGAGGACAGACTACGTGAACTGCACCTCACGTCGCTGGAAGACAGAAGAGCTAGGGAAGACATGATCACCACATACAAAATTCTCAGGGGAATTGACAGGGTGGACAAGGATGGATTATTTAACACGGGTGGCACACGCACAAGGGGACACAGGTGGAAGCTGAGTACCCAAATGAGCCACAGAGACATTAGAAAGAACTTTTTTAGTGTCAGAGTAGTTAGTAAATGGAATACACTAGGAAGTGATGTGGTGGAGGCTGACTCCATACACAGTTTCAAATGTAGATATGACAGAGCCCAATAGGCTCAGGAATCTGTACATCAGTTGACTGACGGTTGAGTGGCGGGACCAAAGAGCCAGAGCTCAACCCCCGCAAACACAACTAGGTAAGTACTATGGAGCACCACATGTGAGTCACACCATGGAGCACTATGGAAGGTAAAATTGAGCAAAGAGCGGGAATTAAGAAAGAAAATTGTGTGGGAAGGGGGCCAAAAAATAGGAGAGGGAAGGGGAGAGGGGGGGGGGGGAGAGAGAGTGAGAGGGCAGAGGGGAGAGAGAAGGAGGGTGAGGGGAGGGGGAAACAGCAGGGTGACACACACACGACACCACCCATGCATTACCTCCCTGCTGAGACCTACTCTCACTCCTCGACCCCTCCCCTGCATTCCCCAGCTCTCGCATACACGCTTTATTCACTGACGCTCCATCCTTGGTGGGGCGACATCTCCAGTATGTTTGTGTTATGCTGCAATAGTAATACCTTTAGCAGTTTTATGCTTTACCGTTTATACCTAAATACCTTTTATCACCTCAAGGTGATCTTTGTGCAATCTCCTGGTAAACATCTCTGATGCCATCTCCTGGTACTCTCAAATACACTCTTTATTGACCACTAATGTTATTCCCTGGTGCTGCCTCTTGTACTATCCCTAATAGCAACAGAGGTAAACAAAATTCTGGTAATTCCTACTGTTGATCAGGTGGCATGTCTGTGTGGGACACAGTTGTGTCCCACACTTTGCTTCCTTCACACACACACACATACACACACAACCTAAATACACCCGTTCTAGCATGTCTGGTACTGTCTGTTGATTATCTCTGCTTTGCCATTTCCTGATAATGTCTAGCATTGCCAGACATTATCACTGGTATAGTACTCTATTTAGTATTGTCCATTAGTGCTATCTCTGGTACCAACTATGGCACTATCTCCTGATGGTACTGTCTTGAATTCTATTACAGTACATGCCCATCTCTCACATTGTCCACAGATGTTATGTTTGTCACTGTTCACTGGTGCTCTCTTTCTCTCACAGTAATTACCTAAGTGTAGTTACAGGATGAGAGCTACGCTCGTGGTGTCCTGTCTTCCCAGTACTCTTTGTCATATAACGCTTTGAAACTTCAAGTTTCAAAGATGGTTTTGACCTCCACCACCTTCTCGTTTAGCTTGTTCCAACCGTCTACCATTCTTGTTTGCAAAAATTTATTTTCTTATACAGGTATTTCTTCAGCAGCTTTGTTTAGTTAGTTTAAATCTATGGCCTCTTATTCTTGAAGTTCCTGGTCTCGGGATTTCTTCCCAACCAATTCTATCAATTCCCGTTACTATTTTGTACGTAGTGATCACCTCTTTTTCTTCTTTTATCTTCTAGAATGTTCTTCTGGTACTGTGCCCCATGTGTCATCTTCAGTACTGTTTTTGGTACTGTTTGCACACCTGTATACAATTTCTTTTTTATTCTCAATATAATCCCTCTATGACTCAGAACTATTAGTTCTCATAATATATTAGTTTTCATCAATGTTATTATATTATAATATTATTATAATACAGTATTATATTATTATTATATTATATTATAACATGGTATTAGTATCTCATCTATGAGAACTATTAGTTCTTATGGTCCCTCTGGTACTGCACCTGGTAAGTACAGTACTTTTCAAAACAAAAGCACTAAGCCAGTATGCCTAGCAGCCTCTTGTCCACAACAACAATAAACCATATAGTCCTATGTAACTAAAAATTACATTACACATAACCTATCACTCAAAATGCCTATACAATACAGAAAAAAAAAGAAACATATACGTTTATGCACAATGAAGGAGTGAGATTCACCAAGGGTTTTAGTTCGATATCTTTGACTAAAAGCAATTATTGGCAAGCAAATTTACCTATTATTCGGAATATTGGTGAATTCTGTGAGGGAATATATGACAGGCACTGCATCCAGTTCGTCTCTCTGGTATTGTACCTCTGGTGATACTCCATGATATGATTTACTGATAATGTTTTCAGCTTACCACCATCTAACATCTGAAAATATTCCCTGACACAGCTTCCCATTAATGAGATGTGGGCTATTCCCTGGTCCTCTGATTAAGGAAGTAACTGGTAATCTTTCGTAGACATCTCAAAAATTTCTACAGTTCATGACGACAACATTTTATATACATTTCCTTGCACTTGTTAATACACTTTCACAGCTTTTGATGAATTCTAAATTAGTTAATATATATATTTGTATGCCATAGTTCATAAATTATTATAATTAATGTTAATTTTGAAAAAAAAAATACTGTATTGTACATTGCTGCTTTTCAAGTTTAATTTTAAACTTAAACTACTCAAGTTTTGCAGATTAAGGGGAAGGTCTGTGATACTGCAGTGTCAGATCAAGTAGTAAATAATTATCAGAAGTCAGTATGGCTATATGGAAGCACTGTCACACTAGTGTAAATCACAATAGTCTCCTTTTAACTCCTCACTGAAAATTCATTCTGTAAAAACATTACAATGAATATAAACAAATAAAAATTTGACAAACACATTAGTTGAGGGGTTTTAATTACTTTCTTACTTTTGACGGCATACGTAAATTTTGTAGTGACTGGCTGTGAGAGCACCGTCCATAAAAATGGTTCTAGCCGTCCCTTGATCCCACTCCCTGCTGAGAGAGGAATATGTCCCCCCCGTGGGAGTGTAAAGAGGCACATACAACTGAGAGAGGTAGGGAAGGCGTGGCTTCCAGAAGGACGAGGGGGAGGGGCAAAGGGGGCGTGGCTCCTGGCGATGCAATGAGAGAACGGCAAGGGGGCGGAGCACCCCACAGAAAGGCAATATAAGGCAGAGGCTGACCGTATCATCGTTCACAGTTGTGTCCCACACTTTGCTTCCTTCACACACACACATACACACAACCTAAATACACCACACCCTTGCTTTCACACACGCTGCAAGATATTGGTCCTTCAACAGGATAAGAAAACCACCAAAATAGGCCTAGTCAAGCCTACTAAATTGTTGTGCCCTACTCTATACTTTGGGAGAATGGGCAGGATCTCATGGGTGCTAGTGGTGATGGGAATGGCCAGCATGGGTGTTGTGTCGGGAGACGAATGTTCCCTCACACCCGTCATCCACATCCTCTCCTATCAAGGCTGCACCTCCAAGCCCATACCTTCCTTTGCTTGCCAAGGCAGGTGTACCTCCTATGTCCAGGTGAGTCAAAGCCCAGTGTTTTACAAATGTTGCCTTGTAGCGATGCCACTTAAAAGCCAGGCCTTCATTTGCACAGGCATTACACGACCTGATAGTAACATGGTTTCACTACTCGAGTAAAAACAAGATAATTCCTGTGCTAAGTTAGTGCCACATTAGCTTTATTCTTGAGTAGTTTCAGTTGTGTCTTAACAGGGAAGCTCTACTTCGGTATTAGTTAACTTCCAGCACGCCACTAATGCCAAGCTAAAACTAAAATATACATCTTAATGTCTCAAAGACACTAAGGAAATAAACATGTACAACATTTAGGAAACAAAGGTAATTACACCGTAAAACCAAATAATAATCATAGCATTCAAAATAAAATCAACAAGCCAAAGTTAGAGAAGAAACAGAATGAATCAGACATACGTAAGACACAATCATACAAACTTGATTACCAAGGCACCAAATAATATATAATAATTTGTTAGTTTACCAAGGTCAGGAAGTAAACTGCAGTAGATTAAAAGACATACACAACGTGAACAACTACTTACAGGTGTCGGGGAGTAAGTTGTGGCAGACTGAGAGGTCATGCATGTGCTGCCAAGAGTCTGGAGAACGCGAGGCTTCCGTCATACTCAACTGCCCCAATGCCCGTAAAGGTGAACCCAAACAAAAGAAGGTAGGTTATGAGTGCACAATTCTATATATGTAAGCAGTTTTGTTTTGCAATAAAAATATAAACCCTCATGATTGCAATACTGTACAAGTCTTCAAGGGGTAATACTGCAAAAGTATAAAGCCACAACTCTTTCCTTTGCATTCATTAATCTACAAAGTGACCCCCATAAAGCCATCAGAATCTACAGCTCTGTGTTGGTGAAACTTAAAGTAAAAATCAGCTATTCATTTATAGCAATTTTGTTCCCAATGTCTGATACTGGCAATGTAGTAACTAACATTCAGAACATGAAAAGCACTCCACAGCATCACTTAAATTACCCTTTACTGTGAGAGCTTGGTAATTCGATTCCAAAAAACCTGAATCTTCAAGTAATCCGAATGAATTTACATTTTTTGATTTTTTAACCCTAATAGGAATTTGGCTAAAAGTTTATACCAAATCAGAAACTAACACAGTATATTCAAATCTGGGTGTTTGACTTTTCAACTCGAATTGAAATTTGGGTTACTGTGATATCTACTAAACAAAAACCCAAATAAATTTGAATGTGTTCATTTTGATACATTTGCCAGTAATAAAGTCGGGTAACTTGAATACCCAACTAATGCAAATGGTGGTGCTTTTTCTTAAAGTCAAAAGATTCATTTAATTATTCCTAAGGTTTGATTGTTTTTGTTTTTTTACCACATCTCTTTCTTGCTGAGCAACTTTCAATAACTGATGAGGTGAATTAATCTTGTAGGGCCAATATGTAACCTAGATACTATATACATGTTTCCCACTGCCTATTTTGATGACATAAGATATGCCACAAATTGGTCCAATTTGATAGTACTGTACTGTACATAATCTGCTATTTGTAATGTCTGACTATCTACCTATAATGGCTACAGAGTGCATTATTAATTACTGTGTAAAGCTTTAAGAAAGAAATTCACTTCTGAGAGATGGGTTAGGCATGGACAGTTTCTATAGCAGTGGCATCTGGGAGGCTGGCTGTCTTACATCTGCCAAGGTGTTAAAAACAAGACTTACATAGATCCAAGTTCACACACTACAAACTCTTACAGATCACGGGTCACTGGTATTATATAGTATGGTTCCAGGATGTAGACATTCCAGGTTTGAATCTATCTTCATCCATTATTAAGATTTAAAACAACATTTAGCTCTAAAGCAAAACTTCCTAAAAAAAACTGCTTGCGAATGAGACTACCAATTGTATCTCCTGAATCATGTTAAGCATGAAGAAACTTGCTTGCAGTAACTTTTTTTTTTTTTATATCACCAAAGGTCTCAACCCCCCCCCCCCTATCCATCCACATAATTATTGCATTAGAACTTTTTGTCATATCTACCCTTAAGACTTAAAAAGACTACTTTCTAACAACTTCAGTTAAAAACACTTTGGTGTCCCAATGACGCAATCTGCATCATAAAACTAAAACGCGCAGAGTGGGTGATGATGCAAATGGCATCGTGCATTAATTTTTGCTTAGTCTTATTAAGTATAAACATTGAGTGAACTAGTTTAACATTGGGTTGTGTGCTCACCGGGAATACTCAGCCTACCTTCTGGTGTGATTCAGGTGGCCCGCCGGGTAAGCCAAAGTGTTGATATTTTCACAAAAATAAAAGTACACAAACTCGGCAACCAATTAAGAACTACCAGAGGACACTTGAATATTCTACAGAAATTTATGTGATGCCTCACTACTTTGTAATATTTACGTGATTTACCCGAGGACCTCTACCACTAGTGGCCTCGACGAGTATACAGTACAGTACGTACTTACTCCCATCCTCGAGGTGTTCCCACATACCCAGTGTTCCCTAATTGATTAGTTGCTATCAAATGTCAGACACTTTTAAAGAGCATCTATATATTTGGTCAAAATAATTGCTCATGTTAGTGTGCTATAAAACGGTGACCATGTAAACAGACAAGACTGAGGAAGACATACAGTAGATAATTATCCAGAGAAAACATTATGCCATTAGGGCTCTATAGCAGTATTACAGTTACAGGTAAATATTAGGTACAGTAGTTATACATCATTTAAGATGCTGATGCAAGAGCAAAGGAAATGAAGTTAATTGTATTATATGATTCACGTGTGCGTGCCTAATAATATCTTATTTAAGGGAATCTATGGAGAACAAACTAAATCATCTTGGATATCTGGGTATTTGACAAGATGTGTAATTTTTTGTGGAATACAACAATTAGAGGAATAAGAGGCAGGTTCTTTTTCCATCAGTTGACCACAAGTCGACCTAGAATTGTCAACAAGCAAGCTCGGTATGTTTGAAATGTTAATAATTTCATGATACGAAGACCATTGGGAAACATTGCATTTGATTTAATGAAAGATTATTATTGGATAGAGCCATCCCTTGCACTCTCCATTTAAAAAGACAACATATTATTGGGTAGCGATCTGTAGGAGTAATAGGCTCTGTGATAAACGTGCATGTTTAAGTAGCAGTTTTAAACATCTAATCTGCCGCTTAATACAAGTCAATGTACTGATAAAATGGTACCAGTACTGTGCAAGCCAAACTCCAATTAAAATAAAAAAGATACAGCCAATCTGGAAGTTCTGTACCAAAAGAGGGATTAAAAAGATTCAATAACCAGCAAGACATTTGTGGTCAACAGTAATGGTAATTGACATTTGGTTTCAGAATAATTAAAGTATTTCTAGTGACCAATGAGGTAGAGAAGAATTATGCAGACCAAACAGCACTAGCAAGAAAGCTAGGAAAATAATCATTACAAATTGCCTTCCACTTTTCCCCCCAATGTAGTGCTTCCATGAACAATCTATGATGTGGAAAGTTACTTTTCACCGTCAGATAACATTCAGACATGCTACATAGTTGTGCACCAGTTTCTGTATGCAGAAAGCATTTACTAACCATTTCTCTCTTCTAGATCCTGACCCGGGCACCCATTGACTGCATGTGTCGGCCCTGCACTGATGTGGAAGAAGGCACTGTTCTCGCCCAGGAGATTGCCAATTTCATCCATGACTCCCCTATGGGTAATGTGCCCTTCCTTAAGTAGGCTTCTCCCTTTAACCTCAAAGACTTCCACTACCTCACTTCTATCCCCCATCCCCTCTTATACGGAATGTATACTATCTTCTCGTCCTTCATTTCATCCCGTCTCCGCCCGCACCAAATTCTTTTCCAACCCTTTGCACCATTTCCTATTCTATCCTTCAAAGAGGTATCTTGGTAACCAAGACTAATGGAATGCAGCAGCTGTGAACGGTGTGAGGCAGCAGCAGAAAAACCCCGAGATCGCAGTACAAAGACCAACACCAGCCGCAAATGGTAGTGTGTTGCTGAATAACACCAGTAGCCACCTACCACACATCAAGGCAAATATACATACCTACAGAAACAGCATCGACAAGTCAGCCTCAGCTGTCCAATCAGTCAACATTACCACAGTTCTCAGGAAAAGTAGAAAATGGTTTAGGAAATAATGTCAACTGTTTACTTAATTTATGTTGCATTGTAATGTATTGCAAACTACAAAGGTGCAGGGAGGTCTTAAGATGTTACCTTAGTCAGGTCACCAGCAGGAGCACCTACTAGTTTAGTTGTCAGGTACTGTGCACTGTTGAGCTAATGTGCCTGTAATGGCATCATTGTTAATAATATAGTCATTACAGTCATTTGTTCTTTATTAACCCCCCACTAATAACCTTTCATCAATAAACATATTACTGGTCTCTTGGCCATTTTCTGTGTGTTCAATGCTGTAGCAAATTGTTTATTAACCATTTAACTTGTGCATTTCGACTTTAAAGTGTTCTAATTCTTGATTTGTATCTTATCACATCTTTGTACATGTGAGGTAGATGATGCTATTATTAACAAGGATGATGGGTAATGTAAAAAAAAAAAACTTCCTAGTCCAACCTTTTCTATGCTCGAATTCACTTGCAAAAGTTCTTCATAACACATCCCAAGCATTTTTGTTACTCAAGTCACATTTATTAAACACACTCCTTCACCTTCCACCACCAACTATTTTTTACCACAATCACTTAACAGCCTCGCATCAATGCAATCAACAACTAGTGTATGTAAACCTCTGCTAAACTAACATCCCACCAAGTGTTACAACATGTGCCAACATCCCACCAAGTGTTACAACATGTGCCAACATCCCACCAAGTGTTACAACATGTGCCAACATCCCACCAAGTGTTACAACATGTGCCAACATCCCACCAAGTGTTACAACATGTGCCAACATCCCACCAAGTGTTACAACATGTGCCAACATCCCACCAAGTGTTACAACATGTGCCAACATCCCACCAAGTGTTACAACATGTGTCAACATCCCACCAAGTGTTACAACATGTGCCAACATCCCACCAAGTGTTACAACATGTGCCAACATCCCACCAAGTGTTACAACATGTGCCAACATCCCACCAAGTGTTACAACATGTGCCAACATCCCACCAAGTGTTACAACATGTGCCAACATCCCACCAAGTGTTACAACATGTGCCAACATCCCACCAAGTGTTACAACATGTGCCAACATCCCACCAAGTGTTACAACATGTGCCAACATCCCACCAAGTGTTACAACATGTGCCAACATCCCACCAAGTGTTACAACATGTGCCAACATCCCACCAAGTGTTACAACATGTGCCAACATCCCACCAAGTGTTACAACATGTGCCAACATCCCACCAAGTGTTACAACATGTGCCAAAATAACCATATACTATTGTATTCCAATTCTTTCAACACTTCTCTCTTTTTGACTTTGTGCTTGCGGGGGTTGAGCTCTGGCTCTTTGGTCCCGCCTCTCAACTGTCAATCAACTGGTGTACAGATTACCGAGCCTACTGGACTATCATATCTACATTTGAAACTGTGTATGGAGTCAGCCTCCACCACATCACTGCCTGTTCCAGGAATTAGCATTCCACCTGTTAACTACTCTGACTACACGTTTTAAGTGTAGTCAAAAGTGTTAACTACACTTTTGCCATGTTAACACACCTACAGGTATTCCTTCTTACTGCTAATAAAAGAAAAATTGAATTGCTCTTATGTCACGATTTTACCACAAAGTATCACATTGTCGAAATATTATTTCGACAATCTGACTACCCTGACTGCTACGTGCTATCCAAAAACTTGTCCACAAGCACGGTGGCAATGCTCTATTCAGGAGAGAAAAAAAAACTGCTACAAGTATACAGAATACTTGAAGGGTTACTTATCTGGCTCACTTAAATGTGCACAAGAAATCCTAAAATAGAACAGCTGTAACGAAGCATTAATGGCCACTAAATTCTTTCACCTAGCTTTGATACTAGGAAATTAACCAGATTTAACATTACCACAATAACACACACTAGTAACAGACTGTTCTATCAATGCAGTCTAATAAATTTATGGTACCGTGCTTCACTAGAGCAGCTCGTCACCAAATGTAGAGGAAAACGCATCGTTACAAAAAGGATTTATTAACAACGTTTATAAAATCCACAAAATTATTTTTCCATGCTATTTACTTATTTGTGCTACAGTGAATGAGAAAATTCAAGAAATCTTCCGTCACATGCAAGCAACTTTCACTTTACGTGGAAGAAACTGAAGGCAATATAAACAAAAATAACCATGTTAGCAGCCTTATACCAAGAACTGGTCAAATTGCCATTACAATAACAGATTGTAGACATACTAGTTTCTAGGCAATTTCATGAACATTAACAAAAGAAATGTTAATTATTCAATAAAATATTGTCACCTACCTTAAGTATGATACACTGCAAGTAATTCATTAGTGGAATAAATTACCATAATTAAATCTTGACATTTAATTTGCTGCAAGTAATTTACAGTCTATCATGCACTGCCATAATACTTCAAAATAATTGAAATCATTAACACAGTTATTCGTGGCTTCAGATTTTCCAGTACACTGTCTCCGTTAGTTCTTAACCTAAATGCCTTTTCACAAAAATAAATAGTAGGCACTAGCCTCTTCATCCTAGTTTCATCCACATTACAGTTCACCTCTCATGTATTTAGGTTTTAGAGTTTCAATTCTTTTAATGTAATCTCCCTTCTCCAAGCAGTCATCACAAGACTCGTCCCAGTCGTTAAGTATCTTCTTGAGGTCTCGCACCTTCAGCTTCTTCAAGTCTACATTCTTCAGATCAATCTGCTTTTCTGTGGATGAAAAGCAAGTTTAGGAACAAAAACCAAAATGTGGAGTGGTAAACATGTTACCTACACACATTGCAACTTTTATATCGATATGCGCTACAGCCTTCATAAATAACGTTGCCCGTTATTAACGCTTTTGTCCGGTAACGACGCAGCATTGCGTCATTTTTTTATTATTTTCATTTTCATACCTGTATAGTATGAAACCAACATGCTGTGCAAGAAAAACCAGCGCAACAAACCAAATACTGGACCTCTAGAAACGCAGACATGACAATAGTACCAAATTAAAAAGGTGAAGACCAATGAATGCAGGGACTAACCTAATGCCAACTGGACTGAATCAAACCAAAAAAAAATCACCGAATAATAGTGCCTCGACCCCCCAAAAAAATTAAAATGCAAAATCCATTAATGTTAACATAGTGGCATCTTGTTCATTTAAAATGGACAAATTCTTTTGAAAATGTACAGTGAAAGATGGCAAAGCTTATCTCAAAATTAGAAATCTCCCAAATGAAAAGTAAAACTATTTACCTTCTCTAGATAGGCAAGGAATAAAGGGGGAAAAAAGGATTGAAAGTGTACAGTTGTGTGTAAGGTTATATAACAAATGTATTCTTTTCTGGATCATACAACGGGTTAAATATATAAACAAAATATAACACGTAAACATGGATACAAGACAAGCTTAGCTTTGCAAAGTCTTGGGTAAATACCTTTTTGGCCACCGAACTGCGCAGAGTGCCTCGAGGCGCTTAAATTCACTAACGGAACTATTATAAAAACAAAAATATGTCCTTAACAATTGCACCATGAAGTTTTTGCCAAAACCCGGTGCGCAGTGTGGTTAGAAACCAGAATATATAAGCAAGGAATAAATACCAGGTTGCAGACGATGTCACAATATCACGGCTGAAGACATTATGACCAAACTACAACTCTGAAGACGGAGAAGCGACTACATATCAGTCCTTCCTGGACACTATCATGTCTTGTAATGACTTGATAATGGTCTAGGAAAAATCAAAACTGTCGCTTCTCCATCTTCCGAGTTGTGGTTTGGTCATCAAAATACCAGGTTACAAGACATGAGGTCATGTGGAAGGTTTAAGCAAACCAAGCAAACCAGAATTTTGCCTAACAAAAGGAGCTGCCTCCTACGAATCGATAGGCTTTCAAATTTTTCTAACCATATTTTCATTCATTCGGCATTACTAAATCTCATCAAGCTGCTCTCAATCTTCAGAATTACAGTTTTATACCAAGACATCTTTCCAAGATATTTTCATTCCTTAGTTTTCTTTGTCCATCCTTACACCATTAAAGTCATCTCGGTGCCCTGTTTCATAAATGAAAATTGTCAAGTTGAGGCATGTCTGCCACATACACAATTACAGTACTACCATTCTGTGCAGACCTCTTGGCCAATCTTCCTGTATTCATCCTAACCAGGAGTTTCATTGTCCCAGCCCCTTATCCTTTCTCCAATTTACTATACAGTGACACCTTGGCTTACGAATGCCCCTCTGTACGAACTTTTCAGGTTACAAGCCCAATTTTTTTGTAAAATCCAAATCGGGTTACAAACTTTGCCTCGGAAAACAAAGTTTGTTGATACGCGTATGGCCGACCTAGCGAGTGGTGGTACAGCAACCGTGCCTCAGTTTACCAGTGCTTCCCGCTTAGTGACAATCTTGCCTGAATTCTTTAGAGAGAATTTCAGTGTTTTAGGATTTTTGGGTATTTGAACATAAAAGTTATTATATATCTCGTCATGGGTCCCAAGAAAGCCAGTGGTAATGTTCAAGCCAAGAAAACATGAGAATGGCCACAAGGAGCGGTAACAAGAGGCAGCTGAGGAAATGTCTTCAAGGGAGGAGGCGGCGGCGGTACAGACTGTCCCTTCCTTAACAAATAGAAGTGGTGTAGACTGTGGGAAGAAATGCAAACTTTTGTTGAAACGACTCATCTAGCTGAGCAAGCTGTAGTAGGCTGTTGCATTAACCATTTTTAATGGCACTGGTGATGCCTCACTACAGACAAGTGTTACAATGTAGGGAAAACAATCCTTATGGATAGATTTTTTGCAAGAAAATCGAGTAATGAGCCACAAGCATGTCCTAGTGGTGTGCAGGAAAAACATGCCAGAAAGTGTACCCCAGAGAAGTCATCACTGCCTGATGTTATGATGGAAGGGGACTCCCCTTCCAAACACTAACACCTCTCCTCCTCCCTCTCCCTCACCATCTTCCATACATCAATAAAGGTAAGCAATAACTTGTACATACTTTAGTACTGAAGATTTGGGTGAATTGGGTATAAAATTTACTTTGAAGTTAATTTTTGGAGGGAGTCTGCAACGGATTAATTCAATTTACATTACTTCTTAAGGGAAAATTTGCTTCAGTTTACGAATTTTCGGTGTACTAACCGTCTCAGGGTACGGATTAAATTTATAAGCTGAGGTACCACTGTATTCTTAACTTCTGCACAAATTCTTATCAATTACAGAGCGCGTAAAATATTTATCACACCGAGTTCCCTTCTCTAAACCATCATTATTGAATAACCAATGAAAATGCACAAAGTACAATACCACCACAAGTCAGTCGGCCAATTAAAAATTATAATGATCACTATGAGCAAAGATCACAATACTTCTTCAAAAAAACAACAAACCACTATGAACGGAAATGATATTTCATCGAGTATGCTTTCGAGATTACTCGATCCATGATGCAGAACAGTAACTGAAAACAAGTGAGAAAAGCAAGCTTAAGAAAGGGAGGAGGGGAACAGCATCTCAGTCGCTGTCTTCTAGTTACCATTCTACATCTTTAATGATTGTAGTAATCCTGAAAGCATGCTCAAATGAAATATCACGTCCATTCACAGTGGTTTAATTTGCACGACTACATACAGTATATATTTACCTAGGGCGAGAGCACACACACGTTAGACCAAAGACGTCAATGTAGAAGATGGGGGGGGGGGGGGGGGGGGAAAAAAGTTGTATTTAAATAGCGATATTGATGTACTAGACAAAATGCTTACCATATCTGAGGTCACAAATCTGAGCATCCATCTTCTTGAGCTTCTCGCAAACCTTCTCCATTGGCATTCCCCAAGACAGTGGTTTGGACATTTCTCCCAAGATACCGGTAGCAGATTCTTCCAATCCACCAATATAGTAACAGAAGCGATTTTCTTTACCTAAGAATTAAAATGTAAAAATTTTAGTAAACAAATTAAAATATAATACTGTAATTATATTCAAAGTAAATATTAATTTACAAGTGAAATTTCATTAAAAATGATTAAACTCCATATCAATTTATTATAGCACATTTATTTAAATCAAACAAAGCTTTGAATTTTTAAATGCATTACGTACATTATTTTACGAGACTTGGCTCTCGGAAGATGGCAAACAAAAATGACTTACCCTTCGCTTCTTTACAAGTTACTCTGAATTTATCTTCAATAATTTTGGGACTTGACCTTTCCTCCTTAGAGAGAGTATCACTGAACTTGCCCAAGAAGGTTATACACACTGCAGGAAAAACATTTTCAGAATGAGGGAATAATTCTAACTTTCCTCCATAATATTGCTTATGAGTACTGTATTATAGAATCCTATTGAATTACCAAATAAATGTAGTGGAAATGTACAAGATTTTTATGTAATTAATGACAACTATTCAGTTTTCTTTAAATACTTAAAATAAATTGAGATGTTCGAGTACAGAGTAACCTCATTTCAGCGAACTATGTGACAAAACCTGATCCACTGAAGTGAGGGATTTGTTGCAAGTGGAGATTCCTTTAAACGACATTTGTGAGATTTTTTTAGCCAAGACAAATGCACTGCTACGGTTATCTAATGTTACTTCACACTACAAAAATCATTACGAATGTGATTGGCAACCCCTAATATGACTCCAGTGATACCTTAATATTTCCCATGCCCTATGGGCTAATGTCACCAAGCATAATTTTAATTTCAATCTACCATATGATAACTTTCCCACAGGTCTGTGAACTCGGGGCCCTATGTAGGCATATCTGCAAATCCCCCACTTTGCCGAATTTCCAAATACTTGTTTGGCCAAGCAGGCCAGTAAATCCAACCTGGAAAGTGTATGTTACAGCCAGAGATTTACCAAATCCAGGTGCACTGTATGTACCTTATTAATTAAGGTTAACAGTAGCATCTCAACAATGCTGCCAAAACCAGCAGCATTCAGCAATAGCATACACCCCCATGGAATAATATAAGTTTCTAAATGTAAACACACATCACAACCGAATTCTGGTCTCCGTCTTCCCATGATACATTGTTCTAGGGTTGGTGCTGCTACTTGGAGGCAACTGGGGGGCAGTGCCCACATGGAGGCAACTAGATGTCTGTTAAAAATGGGTTTGGCAGTTATAGTAATGTAGAATAGTACTTTTAAAATGAGGTTAATGTATGGAATGTACTTCAACAAGGGATTTTCCCAAGAAGGATGGGAGGGGAGGGGGGGGTATTTGTGTACGCACAGAAATCGATTAAGTGATATATATCAATGAACGTGTTATATATCAATGAGAAAATCTACTTTGATTTATCAAGTCTGTGATGGTAGAGTATTGCAGCCTTGGTCATCAGTCTGAGCCCCAGTGAATTCTCATTTATGCACATGTTACTACTACCTGGCTGCAGTCAGGCAGGTAAACTGTCAAGCCAAGGAATGCCATTGCAGTCTCCGCTACCAAGGAGGGCTTGAAAGGACCGTTTTTACACTCGTCTTCTAAGTGGCCACTCGAGCAGAATGATATTCTCTAGAGCATTCAAGTACTATAATGACCTTTCAGGGGACCACTCGAGATGTGCCACAGACACTGGAACCAGAATGAGCAATAGCCGACTGCATTAGTTTAAAACTAGTGGAAATCTATTAAGGGGAGCAACCAGGCAAGATAGCTCTCTTGCCTGGTTGCTCCCAGGCAAGATAGCTCTCTTTGTAATCAACAAAAATTCTAACTAACCAATTTCAGTCTAAATTTACCAAAACTAGACAATCCACTATGTAATACATTTTAAACCTCTGCAAGAAACAGTGGAAAACTGCTACAATTAAAAGCATTATATATATAATAGGATTAAGTAACTTTATGAACTATAGCAGATGGAGGGACTAAAGGCAATATTAAGTAGCAGCTTTAAAGGTTTATCAAAGGGTTATATGAACCAATTATGGAGACAGGAAATTATGACCCACCAATAAGGTGGTCACTTGACAGTACATAAATGCAACATTTTATATAGCTTAGTGGCTGACAAACAATTGTCCAAATGTAACACAAACCTTCACATTCATCCAATTTAAGTGCTGCAGCAACAGAAATGCATGCCAGTAATAATGCTGTCCCCACGTGCCAATTCATCTGTCAAGGAGAAAATATAGGAATAATTTCACCAAAAAAATTACATTAAATTAAAATTTGACAGGTACAGTATTTGACAGTTTATACTATAAATACCTGTGATGGCTTTAATGTTTTTCAACTCTGACCTTAAAATAAATTAGTCTTATGACAGTTGCTCCATAATAAAAACCTGTAAAGTAATTTCAGAGTTGTTAGAATGCACCAGCTCACAAGACCACTTAGATTAATGTTTCGGATAAAGAGTAATGCCAAATATTAAACTACTGTATTATTACAAATTCTTAGCAGCCCTAGTTTTTGGCTACTTTACATGAAAATGAATAAAATCTCAACATTCATAGGGTAATGTATGCCATTTTAACCAAATCAAATACCATGTCTTCTTACAGGGCTATGGAGAAAGGAAAAAAAAGGAAGTACAGATTGGGGAAGGGGGAAAAAAGAAGGGAAGCTTGCACACAGGAGTACAGGCACATTGCCGACGAGTCTCGATAACGTGTTAATAACGATTACCAAATCTTGCCAGAAGATGAAAAGACTATCAAAGGCTCATCTGGTGTGTGGTTTTGTCATTATCATTATTATTATTATTATTATTATTATTATTATTGTACATCAAGTCAAAGGACAAAATACTGATGCATGGTGTCTCGGAAGCAGGCAATTCATTAACCTACAAAGTCAAAAATACTGCTACATGTCAATTAAAAAAAATGACTAAATTGGTTATTTCATACCAAATAAATAAACCTTTTCAACCCGACCATTTTAGATTTTCATGGAAATTTGGTACGATGGCATCAAAACCTCGAGCACTCCGTGATGCCCGACATTCACAAGAGCCAAGTTGCAGCACCGTCGGTGTGTAGGTCTTATCCACTACCACGAACTATCAATTACACCACTATTAGAGATGCAGCGGTCCACGTATACAGTACTAGTCCCCTCGACCCCCTAGTCCCCATGACCCCCTAGTTCCCTTGAACCATAAGCCTACATCACACAAGCTCTAGTAAGATCGAGAAGCAATGATAACAAATGAAAATCTTCGAAAAGATCCAACTTCGTTAGGAATAGGAGCCCCCGTCCCCTTAATAAAAATTAAATAAAAAATTAAGAGTCGAAGGCTGGCCAGCTTTGGCCTCACAAACAAGATTTCACATCAAATTCAATACCTACGTACACAATATAATCAAATTAAAAGCTAGATATGAAACAAACGGAGCTAAACGTACCAATAACAACATTTAACAAAAAATAATAATAAATCGAGAACTATTGGCAGTAAATAAAATATTAGGCAGAGACATTATAAAAAAATATAAAATTATACGAGTACATATAATACAACTGACGACACAAGTCACACCTCTACCACACAATACCTCCAGAAACACAACCACAAAAAAAATTAATGAATGCAATAATAATTTAATATTTATTTAGCAACACAATGGGGGAATCAGGCTCCCTCTCGACCACTTCCCACCGCGGGTATAACAGGTATAACCCCGTCAAATATACCCACCGTGAGGTCTTAGGAGTATGTGTGGTGTGTGGCGAGGCTGCTGGCGACGGGTGAGGTGTGTGTGGAGAGGACGAGGCAGCCAGGAGCAGTGAGAGGAGCCAGGAGAGGCGAGGCAGCAGCGGCCGCAGTGATGATTCTACACACAGTTGGCGACGTGTGATTGGTCGCTTCCCCCCCGGCCTCCCTTCCCCCACCAGCCACTGTTGCTCTCACTTCCCCGCCACTTCTCCAGCCTCGGCTGGTGGGGAAAGGGGGAGAACTGGGGAGGGGGTTGTGGGGAAGGGGAGAACTGGGGAGGGGGTTGTGGGGAAGGGGAGAACTGGGGAGTGGGGAGAGTGTTGTAGGGAAGGGGGAGAACTGGGGAGAGTGTTGTAGGGAAGGGAAGAACTGGAGAGAGTGTTGAAGAGTGTTCTCCCCCCCCCCCTCAGAGGGGGAGAACTGGAGACATTCATTGATGGGAAAAGGAAGAGTTTGCAGGAAAGTATTATAGGGGAAGGGGAAAAGCTGAGGAGAGAATTACAGAGAATTTGGCAGAGAGCATAATTAGAATTAGGAGGAGAGCATAATTAGCCAGAATTAGAGAAGGGAGAAAACTTAAACTCGGCTTAAACTCTGTTAAAAGTATCATAAGAGTTTGCATTATGTACTATATATATATATATATATATATATATATATATATATATATATATATATATATATATATATATATATATATATATATATATATATATATATAAAGGCACGAATAACAGTAATTCCTTAATTGCATGATATTATCTTCTTCTGAAGCACATAACATCAAATATATACATGCTGTTCTTCAATTACAATTTACCCTAAATTTACAGCAGTGAAATAACGTTAGTTGATGCATATTTACCTGAATTTGCGTTATTATTTGTTTTGTTAACAAACTCTATACTGTGTCTAGCTCATTAATTACATAACTTGCTAAGTCAAACGGCTTGTTAAAATAGCTCATTAAGCGCGTGTGCATACATCCCGCTCCCATGGTGAATAATGAATGATAAACTGTCAACTAACTAGCAGTCCCCGTGGCGCAGTGGTAAGACACTCGCCCGGCGCTTTGCGAGCGTTTTGGCCTGGGTTCGTATCCTGGCCGGGGAGGATTGACCGGGTGCCAATCTTTAACTGTATAGCCTCTATTCACCCAGCAGTGAATGGGTACTATATGGCTATGCGAATGGCTATGCGTGCTAGTGGCTTTACAAGACTGTAAAAACTCCTGTATAAATAAATAAATAAATAAATACAATAACTGTTCATTTACCGGTGTTGTATTAAAGTGGCGGGAACTCAACCAAACTGTGTCATCTATGAAATTTGTTGATCTGTCATACAGCATTTAGGCTTAACCATTATAAATAAAACAAAAAAATATAAATATAAATAGATATTTCTATGTCAGTACTAAAGTAAATTCATTTATATATTAAACTACAACGAATAAAAAATTCCGCGAAGGTTCAGCAGGAGCTGGACAAAGTTCCCAGAATACAATGGTTATATATTATGTTATCTGCTCAGGTTATATAAACTCGAAGATCATTCTTTGTATCATTAGTTCGTGAACATTTATTTTGTAATGGTAGATAAATGGAATTCATTCAGTAGTGAATATTTTGTATTTTTTGCAGCAAATACTTCCTCAGCAACGTGTAAAATTTACCCGCAATATATCAGTGTCACATAACTGATAACAACTAAATTAATTTTCATTTATTCAAACCAAAAATATATACATTTAACAAATGTATTAGGTAAATTGAATATTTATTCATTATTTGCAATGTAATGACATGACATGAAGTGAAGTTTATTAAATGAATGTCGTTTTCAGGAAGCTTTTGGCAGATGGCTCATCAAATGTCAACAACACAGGATCTTCCCACAGCCGAGGATGTGAAAATGTCTTTTGAGGAGTTAAGGAAGCGTGCCCGGCAGTTAGAGAGTGAGATAGACGTGAAGTTGGTGTCGTTCAGCAAGATAGCGGCCAGCTATGGCACAACTGTAGCCTCTGGCACCAAGAGCGAGTCGGTGCCTCTCCTCTCTGGTGACCAAATGTAAGGCTAAATATTGAGTCTTTGAAGAAAGCTTTCTAATTTGTCAAACTATTTATCGTTAGGTTATTCTGAGTTAGGTTAAATAAGGGTGGATTTAGCTAAATTAGGTTAAATTAAGTTTTGGTTAAGTTAAGAGTCAACTGGGTTGTAATTAATTGGTCGTATTTGGTTCAGTTAAGGTTGGGTTAGGTTAAATTAAGTTGGGTTAGGTTTTTAAAATCTGTTGGCAAACTACCTTTAGTATGAAGATACGTGTGTTTGCTGTTGGTATCACAAAGGTCTGTCTCTATGCCATCCCCTACAGAAGATTAGGGTATAGTTAAATCTTATACAGGCATTTTAAAAAAGTCCTTTTTCAAATTGTAAGAACCATATATATAATCATTAGGTTAGGTTGGGTAGGTTTGGTTTGAGAATTTGGGCCTTTGAGGCAGCTCCAATTTATATGAACAATATAAATAGGCACTGCCTTTTATGAGCCAATAGGTCTTCTATACTTGCTTCATTATTATATTTGTTACAACCCTATAGAATTGTGAAGACCATATGAAGATAATTGGTAAACATATCATGTAATGCAATTTTATTGCATGACGATTACAGCAGTGGCATAATAACATTTGTGAAGAAAATGCATTTGCGTAGTTAGCAATCTTGAAACAATAGCAGGATTTGTTCATGTGTCAAGGTAAACGCCACTACATCCTTATAGACGTATTATATACATATTAGCATCATTTGTGTAAAGCCCAGACAGTAATATTTTGTGCACTTACGATAACTGCATTACCCTGTCAATCAACATATGATGATGATAACAGCACTTTAAGGGTTAAGGATTCGTGTTTAGCAAGTCATGATTCCCGTTATTTGGTTTGCTGTCTTTGTGGTTATAAATGATCCAAATTATTATTGACATTCAGTAACTTGCCTGCCTGCTTCCTGTGTATTTTGGAAAAAGTTTTTTCTGGGAGAGCTAATTTGGCTTCTTGGTACTACCTCTATAACTCATATATATCAACAACAGCATTTTCTTTATTGATGCTGTTTATATCTGTCATGCTCACTAAACATTAGGTCATCTGATATTATTCTTAGATCCTAAAATGTTGTTTGCATTCAATGACATTTGTTTGCACCTTGTCTCCTGTATGCAGTTTAATTCCCCCTCTTCTTTCCATATCTTGAGTACTGTAGCTGGAATGTGTTGCGTGTTAATATCATGTTATTTTCCATTGCCCATTGGAAAATATTATTGATACAGTATATGTTTGCAGATTTGGGAGTCTTCTGTGAGGAAATATTCATGCTGATTTTGGTATTGTCTACAAATGATAACAATAAGATGTGATTTGTGTTTTTGTTCATATGAAAATGAGAGAGCAGTGATGCAAGGACGGGAACTGAATATAGAGCTTTCACTGTGCTCAAGCTGGATTTTGTTAGGTTCACTGTTACTCTTTTGTGGTCTCAAAAGTTCAGGTTTCTTTACAAACTCATGTACAGTATGCAGCACACTAATTTAGTGATCAAGGGTGAAAGTGAATTTTGTTTAGTGTCATTTTGTTTGCTGATAAAGTCATATATGAGAGATCTTATCAGTCAGCACCACCAAATCTTTTGTTTTTTCCCATAGTAATGGTTCTCTTCCCCACTTCTATGCACACACTAACATTGGTTACTCATCCGTACCTAACATTTCCCTATCGCTTCAATGGGCAAAATTCTCATACCAGTTGTGAATCATATGTAGAGTACATTCTCATGAGATCCCTCCATACCTGCCTTCAGATGCCCAGCCCCTTGGGATGGACAGTAGAGTAATGGTCTCGCTTCATGCAGGTCGGCGTTCAATCCACAAATGGTTGGGCACCATTTCTTCGGACTGTCCCATCCCAAATCCTTATCCTGTTCCTCTTCCAGGTGCTATATAGCCGTAATACTTTCTCCTGATAGTTCCCTTCCCTGCCTTCAGATACACTAATTTTGATATGTTTTTCTCGCAGGTATGAGACGATTGCAGTTGAACTGGAGCAGTTGTTAACAGCCCTCACAGATATAAATGAGAGAATGAATACTTGCCCCCATGGATCATCCGTTGCCACCATACATACCTTGCAACGTCACCGAGACATTCTTCAGGCAAGTCAAGAACGTGTATTCTATAATCAGTCGACTGAATCACACAAATTGTACAAACGAAACCAAAAAATTATCAAGCTGTCATAACAAGGTTTCTTGGTTGTTTTAGTCCCCTATCTGAGCAGGCTATTTTGACGCCATTGTCTGTCAGGTAAACAATATGTTCAGAATTTTTTTTTTAGCTTCTTTTGACATTGTTATTAAGCATCCAGGAAACACGAAAATTCATGTAAAAAGTACCTACCTTTCATGTGAATTGAGGTGAGGTGAGGTACCGCTTGGGAATATCTTAGTCCATTTATCTTCATTGTTTCTCATTTTATGAATTTTTGTCGTGTCCACATGTTGTGTTGATGTGCCAATAGTGGTATTCATTATGTATAAATTTGGAAATACAGTATTGTATACATATATACAAGTATGTGTAAATCACAAAGAAATTAACAGATGAATAATGTGACAACTTTTGACAACAAAGGAAAATTAAACAAGAAATTACTTAAACACTTTTGTGTGTTGATTAACATGAAAGTGCTCAAGTAATTTCTTGTTTCATTTTCGTTTGTGGTTAAACATTGTCGCATATACAGATGTGTATAAATATACACACCCTATATTTATTAATTTTAAGTAGAATTATCTTTTCCTAGATAATTAACTGTGAGAGTCACTGCGGATATTGTCAGTTAATGATTTTCGTTATTATTGTCCAATTCATTTACTATTGTTGATAAGGTTATTATAGCTGTATGGATGTAATGGTTAACCAAATGTTGTTGTCTTGGTTATCAGTTTATAATTGCTTACTATGCAAATGAGGTTACTGTGTACTAGGGACTGCAGTTATTATAAAAGGATGATTTAGTCATTATTGCCAACACTTGAATCCCAGCCAATCAAAATTTACAGCAAAGGAGTGGGTTGCAAGATACATCTTTGAGCTGTGGTAGAAGCGCACGTTTACATCTAATGAGTGTACATATTACATTTTAGGCCTATGTACAGTACTTAATCACTATATACACACATAATTGAGAAGAACATTAATTTGTCACAAACACTACATTGTGTATATAAGTGAGGCAACAAAAACATCCAAGATCATAAAAGCCCCTCTCTTCCTTATCACTGCCAACAAGCCTCGTATCTTACATCAACGGGGACACTAACCCCACCACCCTGGTTCCCTCAACAGCCTGTTAAATCAGAAAGACACTGATATTTTTGTTCTCTTTTGGCATATCCCATCTCATAGGCAAGATGACAATTTTGACACACTTTAACTGTAAATTATTACTTTTCTGAGCTGGGTTTGTAGCTTTAATGTAATTTTTGTCTTATGAGCATGATTGTATAGTTCACATAGTTCATGATAATTATTTCCACAGGACTATACACATGAATATCAACGCACTAACAATGCCATAAAATCAAGAAGAGAGCGTGAGCAGTTACTTGGAAATGGAAGGAACAGTGGAAAGAGTCTAGCTGGGCTCTCTCGGCGAGATCTATATCTCAAGGAAAGTGAACATCTTGTGAACTCTGAAGGGATGATAGACGAGCAAATCACAATTGCCGTGGAGACGAGAGACCATCTAAAGAGTCAACGTGAAGCATTCAAGATGATACAAACTAAAGTGAATGATTTGTCAAACAGGTTTCCTCTTATTAACACACTCATGACAAAAATCAACATACGTAAAAGGCGCGACAGTCTCATTATTGGCACCGTTATTGGTTTGTGTCTAACGTTTATGCTTTGGTGGATGTTCTTCTAGCAAGACTGCAAGTCAGTCACTGATCAAATAATGAATAATTGTAAATATAAAGCACACATTGTAAAATGTGGGCTCTATATTTTCTTTAGATTGAAAATGAGCAGCAACACTAATGAATCCACTAGACAAGCTCTATATTAATAGGCAATGAACTGTTTGTTCATCTATGGTGAATCTAATTCATGTTCAGTAATACAGTATTTCAAGACTATTTTTGAAGAATACAGAGCTAAATGATTGTAATGGTCAAATGAGACTCTACTCTGCTGCCACTACATAGTATTATTGTTGGGGCAGTGCCAGAGTGCTCTGGTTACTGATCAGGACGGTTAAGGCGGTGCTCTCGGTATTGTATTGTGACATTTGATGCAATACGTCTTTGTTTTAATTTGCACTTGTGGGTTGGAATATTTTATTAAATATGCTGATTTGCTTGTAGGTAAACATCCACTGTATGTGTGTGGCCATAACTGTGCAGATTCTGAATGAGTACTAAATTTGCATCTTTAGTGCATTGTTTGGACTTTAAATAATGAAAATACAGTACAGTATCTGTTATTCTATTATCTGTGGATGGTGGTCTTTTTCCTGCTCTGCTCAACTGTCATTCCCTTCTCTCAAAGGATTATAGATGTTAAGATAACTATTACTTGCAAGTACAGTATATTATCCTGATCATACCCACGTAATTAATGTATTTGCAAGTTACTGGGATCAGTCTTATCCCAATTATTTATTTCATAAGATGTACAGAAGCTTAAATAATACATTGAAGATACTACTTTAAGATGAGGGTTCTTGACCTTAAGATTGCATTACAGTATTATTAATGTATATATATTTTTGCTTCAACATTTTAGAAACACTGTACATACAGGTTGGCTTATAAAGTTACACAAATTCTATACATCATATTACAATACCATATATAATAACTCTTCAAAGGAAGTAGAAAATTGGATGTTATGCATATGTATGTAAACTTGTGTACTGTGTATATACCTGGTACCAACTGTGTGCTTTGGGATATATTTATAAATATTAAAACAAAAATGGTTGGACTTTTTTTTTTTTAATGAATATGCCTTAAACTACACACACACTAGTGACTTATTTAATACGTTTAATCCTTAAGTTGCAGTTATCATCATACGTTGTTTCCCTGAATAATTTTTTTTTCTACTACAGACTTTGTAAAAGTTCATAAATATTTACAATTTACACACAATGCTAATGTGGTTACATGTTGATTTTAGTCATTACCTGGTTTTATACAAATGATATTATAACCTTATATATATATATATATATATATATATATATATATATATATATATATATATATATATATATATATATATATATATATATATATATATATATATATATATATATATATATATATATATATATATATATATATATATATATTCGATTGAACAAATCACACTGTTGTGATTTCTGTGTGTATATCTCGATTACAACTATTATAGTTAACAAACCCATGGATTGGATAGTGGAGCGACGGTCTTGCTTCTTGCAGATCGGCATTCAATTCCTTGACTGTCCAAGTGGATGGCACCATTCCTTTTCTCCATGTTCTAAATCCTTTTCCTCTTATCCCTTCCAAGTGCTATATATTGTCATATCCATTTCTGGACATTAGTAGATAGAAAAACAGCAAATGTGTGTGCACATATTACATTATATAGTAAGCCTATATACAGGACTTAAATATTTGTTTTATTTAATTTAATTCATTGTCGAGGGACAGGAAGCCAGAGTGTATTCACACGTGTTAGGTTTATATCGAGGTCCTGCCACCCAAAAGGTCACATTATTGACCCCACCCAGGATGCAACCCCACAAGAAGTTGACCAACTCCCAAGTACCTACTTACTGCTAGGTGAGCAGCATTAGGTGCAAGGAAATTTGCCGAATCATTTTTGTCCTGCTTGGAATTCTCAATTGTGCGTCAAGAATGAACCCGACTGTACTACCGGTACTTTGTAAGCTGTGTGTAATTTAAAGTTTATTCCACACATTCAACTAAAGTGATACAGCCTTTCCCGTATATGAGACCGCAAGTAAAAATTTATCCCAAGAGTTCATAGACACAACATCTTCCTCACCTTGCTCTCTCAATGTGTTTGATATGAACATTTTTCTTTTGAAGTTTTCTTACTTTTTAGCATGAAAATTTTGTTATAATAAATTTCTTTTGCTCACAGGCAGATGGCAAAGTTCAATGTAACTACATTTAAGAGGGGTAAATGTACGAAGGTGGTGGTGGTGGCAGGGGGGATAAATAAAAAATGCTGGCTATGTTAGGTCAATAGGCAAGAACCGAGTAATTTCGGTAACTTGAATCTTCAGGTAATTACAAAGGAATTTATGTTCAGTGTTTTTGAGTTAGCATATAAATGACAGGATTAACAGGGCTGTGATAAAATCAACATTTGAATGTGTTCGTTTTTTTGCATTTCTGGTAAGAAATTCAGCTAACTCGAATGGGATGTTGGCCCCATAGAATTCGGATTACTAAGCATAGACAGATATAGTAATTGAAAAAAATGCAGTTTCAAAAACACTAAAGAACTATCTTATCAATGGTCTCATATCAACATTTTCTACTGATTTGTGCAGTCAACATGAAACTAGTAAAGATGTATTCCTATTCTTTATATATGTGGTGCACTCCAGGATCAGCAGCTACTGGATAGGCTCAACTTTCAGATGAAGTAAAGCTGTGAATATATGAATGTTCATGCACAGTAGAGATGCGAGTAGCAAAGCTGCTAACCCACGGCTTTGGTTCTGCTTCTCTCTCAGCACCCCTCTCATGAGCTTTGCTGTCGTGGTGTGGGGGGGGACTCACATACAACTTCCTGGGGCTGGTTTGGATTGCCTCAGCCCCCTCTACTGGCATTCTAATACTGGTGGTTTCTTATCAAAGCCGGATTTAAGACTAATTTTGCTGGGTTCTGAGCCATGTTGGAAAATATGCAGACACAGCTGCTAAGGAAGCCATTTACACTTGTTCTATACCCCAAAACAGTATTTCTTTTTTGGATTTCTACCCAGTCACTCATTCCACAACCTTGGTAGGGTCGTTGGTCTGGCATTACAGGTAACAAACTGCATACAAAGTAAGTAATTGTCAAAGAAGGCACCAAGCTGGGAAGGCTATGTAGCACCATCAAATGTGCTGGATAATCAGAGGGTGCTAAATATCACTGAGGATGCTAATATGAGAACAGAAGCGCATAAGGTGAACGATAACAAAAGTATCCGATTCACCAAGAATTCTATAGAGGGACAAGTGACCGTGGGGGACGGTCGGAAAGCAAGACACGCTGTCACTGGTCACTGTTATGGTGGTCATCAAGAACCTGCCACGTGAAATGTAAGTAAAGGGACGACGAGCAGATCAAGACAGGAAAGGGTGCAAGTCCGAGAGTCCACATGAGTGGGCTCACCAGAATTCAGAAGAGACAGGTAAGAAGGACGAACGGTTCGAGAAGGCGACGTCGGGTGTTTGTCAGAACATCACCCCAGAGGGTATGTCGACAGTTGAAATCACCCAACATGAGCACCGGCTCTGGCAAGGAGTCCAGGAGGTGCTTAAGATCAGGAAGGGAAAGCAGGACAGTTGGGGGGGGGGGGGGGGGGAGAAAATGGAACAGACTGTACAGTATACCATTTACTCACAAAAACCCGGGCAGCAGAACAATTGGATAGGCAATGGAAAATGTAGGGGGACAAAGGGAATATCAGAATGAATCAAGAGAGCAGTAGAGTTATATGCCCCAGCAAGTGCTGAGGAAGGGGAGGGGGATGGGGGGGGGAGAAAGGAATAACCAAGAAAGTGACCAGGATGAGCACCAAGCATTGGCTCCTGGAGATAAAGTGGTGATAACTGTGTAATAACCTCAGGATCAGCAAAATCAGGGTTAGGGGGCATGGGGTAAACTTAGTAAGGATGGAGGGAAGGGAGCAGGAGGACAGACCAGAGGCGGAGGAGGAGAACCAAGAGGGGCAGCCAAGGACAGCAGCAGGAGGGGGATAGAAACCAGGGAGCGCACCTCAGCAAGGGCAGAAACCGAGAGGGAATCGGGGGCTAAAGAAACCTCCATAGCCGGGAGAGGGGAGCCGACCACTGAAATGGGAAGGGACGTAGGGATAAAGTCAGACGTGGGGAACGAGTGTGCCCCTGTACCCACCATGGAGCCACAATTAAGAGGATAGGACACTCAACAAGAGACAGGTCTTGCTGGGGGGACCCCCCCAGGGTTGTGTTGTGAGTATACTCCCCACAAACGCCACCTTAAGAACCATCAGTCCGTCAAAATCGGGTTCAGTGACGAAAGAAGGATTGACAATAAAAGCGTCCCCTCACTCGCGACCTTGGGTACCACAGTTATACGGGTGAGAGAGTATACATCTCCAAACACCTGGGCGTTAAAACAGAAGAAGTCAGAAAGAATAATCAAGACCGGCAAAAGGTCGGTGGGAAAATGACAATTAGAAAGGAGAAGAGGGGAAAAGGGAGGAGAAAAATGAAACACAAGGAAAAGATATCTGGCAAAATTGGTGAAGACAGCAGCAGGACCATAAGGCTTCAAAAGGACAGAACTGACCCGTGGAGCATCACACTCCAGCAGCCGCCCACCAAGTCCCCTCACGATGACAACGGGCCAGAAAGGAAGGGGGAACTGCACACAAAGGTGACCTATTCCTTTGGGCTTCCTCCCACTGCTGTGATAGTGGAAAACTGCTCTGAGTGTTATGTATTGGCTACACATACGTAACTCATGGCCACTAATAGAACAGCACTCTTCTCCTTACTGTTCTAACTGTATTATCCCACTTGGTTATGCACCTCCTTGAAGAATGAAAAATTTTTCAGGATGAGCATGTGTTTTGCTTTCTTAATGGCTCAATAAAATCCTTGGGAAATCTAATACCTTTGATATCGCTCATCTCGTGTCCTCCTTTTGATAATTACAGTACTTGCTCTCCTTCAGCAGGGTGTGAAATGAGAGGCCCTTACCAGACATTTGTCAATGGAGCACACTGGGCTTCAATAAAACCCAGCAACACCACACTACAGGGTAACTGTCTTGGTAGGTTGTTTAGTGAAAGAAAACCATCCTTCAATAATTCCTTTGGCACCGATTGTACTTTCTACTCTTGTATTGGCATCGTCAATGACCTCTAAGAATGCTTGAATGTTGCTTTCTTATATATAACAGATGTTTTATTCAGAATAGTGGATTTAATATGTACATTTCTGAAATGCAACCAATTTACCACACATGTTGGTCTGCCTTATGAATGTCACAGGCATTCAATGTCAGAGGGTTAAACTGCAGGTTTAACCCTCACCCTGTCATTTTTTTTAAATTTTACCCTTTGATTTGTTAACCATTTAATCATGTGCGCCTTGGTGTAGACTTTTTAAATAGCTGTGCAGTTCAGGGTTAATGAGGGTTGAGCCTTCTGGTAATTCAAGGCCTAAATACAATAAGCATATCAAATATTGCAATGCATTTTTTTTTTTAGCTTATTTAGTGTTACAATTAGCTGTAATGAACACACACACACACAACTTTCTTGGGTACTTTAAGCCAACATGATTCACACAGCATTTCTTAAAATCATATAGATCATTTACTACTGACTAATCATTGTATTATTTGCACTGAACTTTAAAAAAAACACATAAGTTTGGTTTTGTACAAAATGTTTATTAACAGCTTTTTACTCATTTACATAATCACAATCAAATCCTAACCTAGCATTCCTTATCATGCTTCATGGCATTACACTGCCATTTTGTAAAAAATTATACCGTATGTTAAATACTGTGCATTGTAAAGATATCAAAACTGATGTACATTTTACAACCATTCATAAGGAAAAAATTTAAAATATACACTAATAGTATTGCAGCAAACAAGAAATATATATATTTATATATTGGAGTACAGAGTGGAAAAAGAATGCTGTAAATTACCTGATTGACTGCCATTTAGGCAAAACTATTTGCTTCATTGTACAGTTTAATTCAAACATATTATCTTGCACTGTATTGGCAAATACACAGTTCATACAAAGGGGAGTCCAAAAGACAGCTAAATACCCTTGACTGTTGCTCATAGCATACACTGCCTCAGTTTTTATGATATTCTCATTGAAGAATAATAACGGTCAGAATTTTACTACATGATGCCAAGGTTCAAAACTTTGATCCCTAAATTTTTTGAATACAAATAGCAAACTATGAAATGGTTAATTTATTCCAGTGTTAGGCTCATAAGGCAAAGATTCAGAATATAAGGGCTAACATGTGAAATTTACTCTATTTTCATTTTAACTTTAACTGCTTTTTAGTGCAATTTTATGCATTTGTTCCAAGGTATTTACAACAATAAACAGCATGAAGTCAGTGCTGCCATGTCCCATGTACTCTTCCCAACACATAAATAAACTGTGTAAAGGCAGAATCTCCCCTTTTCCAGCCATTATACAAAATCAGAGGCAAATAATACACTAAACAAATTGTGCATCAAGGGTTTTTATCAAATGAGTGACAAGGAGAGAGGTATCCTTGATGTGGCACCCGTTGCTCAGTAAATTTAAGAAATCCCATCGTTGCTATCATGGCATCGACTCGAACAATTTACGGTTCTACAAAATAGTCACCTATAAAAGTTACTTATGGTTCTCATGCTCAGTGTACACAATAGTACCTGAACCTATTCGGATTCTGAGGCTGCAGATGATCGCTCCTGACGTTTCATGGAGAGGAGGGCTTTCTCCCGTAGCTTCCGTTCAAGCTCCTCTGCTCCCATGCTCTCTCCTGACTCACTCTCTGTCTCCTGAACAGTGAGAATATTTCTACTTACATATGACAGGAGTAAAACTTGGGAAAATATTCTTATAGCAAACAACATAGCTAAGCATTTACAAGGTAAATAAGGAGCAAATCCAACACCACAAAAAGTCAACCGAAACTGAGTAAACTTTTCAGCTTAATTCTTTAAGCTTGAATTTCTCTAAAAATAGATATAATGTATTCAATTAAAACAAGTCAAACTAAACATGGCTCATGATGAAGCATCTTTTTCTCTCTCAACTAATAATGAGGTAAGAGACAATTACAGCCTTTTAGCACTAAATTGCTTCCTTTTCCTCTTAGTCAATTCGATTCATATATCATAGCATCTTTACACAGAGAAATCACAGCAACGTGATATATATATCAAGGAGAAAAATCCACAGCAGCCGTGACGAGGATCACGGCTCCTGTGGATTTTCTCATAGTAATCTTTATTAAATACAACACCTGCAAAAGTGGTTACATTTTCATTTTATAGAGACTTTTTCTGGAGAAGAAACACTGAAAAATAAGATGAAACACTGAACTACTCTGAGCTCGAATGTTCTGTATCACATAAGCTTACCTCATGTCTGTGTTTCTTGTGCTTCTTGTGCTTCTTTTGCTTCTTGTGTTTCTTCTTCTTTTCCTTTTTCTTCTTTTTCTTCTCTTCAACTTCTGATAACTGTGAAACAATAAAACTTGTCATTTCCCAAAAATAAATGCCTGTACATGCACATTAGCGGAGTGACACGTTCCCGACGGCGCTCCAAACAATGTTGTTTGTCCAGTAGTACAGTACAGGTCTCAAGGTTATGACAGTAATGTACCAACAGTATATAAATGAACACTGGAAGTTAAGAAGAAAATGAGAAATTACGATAAACTTACCAAGCAACCCACGTGCCATCCACGGTCGTTTAAAACACTGGCGGAGAGCGGCAAGGATTATAAAACTACAAGCACATTAGGAAAGACAGGAGGACACTACCAATAAACTACAAATATTTCCGTTGCAGTCAACTAGGGAAGATGCATGTCATGAAATTTTATTCTGAAAAGAGTTATAAAACCATATCTCTCTATCAGAATGAGTTACCAATTTCATTAAAACTTGACCTACAGGAAAAAAGTTCAGGGCAAAGGAAAGTTGATGGGGCCTGGTTTGTTTACCACTTTTTAAAAATTAGCTTTAAGGGCTGGATCCTGGAAAATACTCGAGATGAATGAACTACTCTTTTAGACAGGTTCTAACAGTAGACCTCCATCATATAATCTGTTGAAATTAAATTTTACCCTGAAACTTGCCCACAGTTCATGGGAAAACTACATCACATAACTCCTTCAATATTACTCGGATGACATATTTAACGACTTCTTCAGACAAGTGCATTTATCATTATGAATGATATTTGGCATTTCCCATGGCATAAATAATTATGCCATGGGAAAGTTATTAAACACAAAACAACTTCATGGTTCATTTTATTTTTGAATGATCAATTCAGAAAATTTGGTAATATATAGCCAAAAAATTTAGCACTGATTAGGAAATAGGACTTCATGCAAAACCAGATTGGGACCAGAATGATATGATAGAAATTTTAGTGGTGCCTCATGCATGTAACCTGCAAGTTTAACATTACACAGTCTCATCGCTATTTGCAGAATGACAGCTGGGTGGACAGCGCTTCTGATTTGTAGTCCTGAGGTTCCGGGTTCGATCCCCGGCGGAGGCGGAGACAAATGGGTAAAATGTTTCTTTCACCCTGATGCTCCTGTTACCTAGCAGTAAATAGGTACCTGGGAGTAAGACAGCTACTACAGGCTGCTTCCTGGGGGGGGGGGGGTGTAACAAAAAGGAGGCCTGGTCGAGGACCGGACGCGGGGACGCTAAGCCCCAAAATCATCTCAAGATAACCTCAAAATAAGATATACTGTACATTGTATACATTTGGTCTACATTTACACATTCTATACCGAACTATTGTACCACTAAGCAAGGTACACACACACACACGCATTGTGAAGGACAGAGGGTAAAAACCCATTGGTCTTAAGATCACAAGCAGTAGGAAACAAAACCAAGTTAATATTTTATGAATAGAACACAAGCATCAACCAGCATTGAGAATAGTTGATTCTAATGTCAGGATAAATATGATGGAAAACTGCAAGAAACTGCTGGATGACTCAGACAAAATTGGATTATGGTCCCTCAAGTGACTACAAGAGTTCAACTCAAGCAAGTGCAAAGTAATGAAGCTGGGTATAGGGAACAGAAGGCCAGACAACTTATCACATGGGAAAGGAAATCCTCTGAAATCAAGATGGGAAAAAGAAAAAAATTGAGGGTTGGCATTACCAAACTTGTTGCCAAAAGCCCCACATCAAAAGAACATCAGCTGCATACAGAAGACTGGCCAATAAATGCACTAAGAAGTGGTCGAGACAAACTCCACAAAAGGCTTTACACAGGTTGGTACAGGAACTGATGACTTTGGATTCTTGTTAGCAGACCGAGATTTCCTTCCCATACCTCACAGTAAGCCTTACCCGCTAATTTTCCCTGAAACATCACCCACCAATTAGTTAACAACCAGGACTAGATTCATCAAAGCATTTACACATCTAGTTTAAAGCTGTACATCTTTTTTGTAATATTTGGTGGAAAATATTTAACTTTACTGGGTAAATAATAATATTTAGTAAATATTACACTTACTTAACATTTTATGAGCTCTGAAGTACTAGGAGGCATTTATAACATTAAATTTGGAAGTTTGATGCTCAAACTATTTAATAAATGTAAACAAAGCTGTCATGGACTGAGAAAAGACGTACAGGTTCATAAGTACTTGTATAACTGTTTGATGAATCAGGGTACTGGTACCCAATTACTATTGGGTGAACAGAGGTGCGAACAGTTAAGTTTTGGTGCCTAGTCAATCCTCCCAGGCCAGGACTCAAATCTAGTCCAAACTGCTTGCAAGGCGTAGGGCAAGTGTGTTACCTATGCCACCAGGGACTAAATCTACACGCCTATAAACCTATGAGATGTAAGCTCATCTTCCACAAATGCAATTAGGAGAGTATAAACATACAGGCCACATTCTCTTCCCATATATCGACCTGCCACCAGCTGAGCCAGAAATGTTTTGGAGTTTTTTTTCTTACCTCAGAATCAGTGCTGGTTTCCTTCTTCTTATGCTTCTTCTTCTTTTTCTTCTTCTTCTTTTCTACTGGTGAAGAGTCTCTACTGGATGACCCTTCCTCTTCCTCCTCCTCCATCGAACCGTCAGCAGAGCCAGAGTCCAGTCGCCGTCTCTGCCTCGGTGACGCTGACTCGGTAACAGACCGTGATCTTCTCTTCTGTGCTCTCCGTACTGTTCTCGCATCATCTGTATCAGAATCCTCGCTGGCAGAGGCAGGATGGTTATTTTCATTTCTGTGAATGGTATGTAAAGCTATTTGTAAGATAACTAAGTTTCAACAATAAGAAATCAAGAGCTGACTGCATATTAAATGCAAATGACAATTACCACTGTAACAGGTCTTCAGTTTCTTCTTGTTGAACAGGTGAAATGATGCTATTCATCTTTGTAGCATACTATTTTTTTTTCTAATAGGGCTTCGTGTTCCTCAATGTTTGTGTTAATTACGAATGTAATATGATTATATAATTAATAGATATAGGTGGAGAAGTGAAGGGAAATATGAGGAGAAAGTGCCAAGTCATTACAACTATATAGCCCTTGGAAGGGATCAGGATAAGGAATGGGATGAGACAAGGAGATGGAATGGTGCCCAACCACTAGGATGGTCGGAGATTGAACGTCAACCTGCATGAAGCGAGACCGTCGCTCTACCGTCCAGCCCAAGTGGTCGAGTATATAGGTGGAGGTAGACAAATGCAAACTACAGAATGCGAGAGAAAAAAAAGAGATACATTTTCAAGGGGGTTAGTATTAGGAGGAAAATCTTAATGAACAGATTACTGTATCATGAAGGATGATGTTAAAAATAAATAAATTTGATACTTACTTCTTGGTTAGTTTATACTGAACTTCTTTAATTGTATCGGCAGAATAGTTTGCTAATTGCATCAGGCGACTGGCATTGCTTATGTTGTGTTTCTTGTCAGCACTTGGAGGGAGAACTGGCCCACCAGCACGTCGAGGTGACCTCGAGGGGCTTCTATGTTTCTTCCGACTTGGTGAATGTGAGGCAGAACGGCGATATCTATCAAACGTAATAATGAACAGTTACAATATTTAATAAATATAACCAGTTACAAAATAACAACAAATTAATACTACATAATTTAAAGAGTATGGTTGTAGCTGGTCAAGAGGTATCGTCAGGCTGCATATCTCGGATATAAACAGTGTAAATATTAAGAGTACATGAACAAATCCACAAGGGCCTTGATGAGGGTTTGAATCTATGCGCTGGATGTTCCCCAGACACGCTTTAGTCAACTGTACCACGACATGGTAAAACAATTGCAACTTTGAGTGCTACTGCCCTCACGAGGATCCCGAGGCTTCCACTGAAGCCTAACCAGGGTTTCATACAATTTCTCCGTGCACTCGGGTTCTGTTAACCAAATAGTTCTACCTTTGACCTACTTCAGTTCTATCTACTTCGATACACACAGAAATCACAATAACGTGATATATCAAATGAACAATGATATTTCATTGCAAGTATCATTGTTCATGTGATATATCATGTTATTGTGATTTCTGTGTGTATTAAGAGTACATGTTCCATTAGCTAGTGTCCCTACTGAGCAGTGAGAACCTCTTGCCTCACAATAGGCAACTGGCAAGATTTGGGTGACTTATGGTTGTGATCTCGTGTTTCTTAAAAGGGATGCAACAGAACCTATAGACACTACACAAGATATGTTTCTGTTTACATTTCAAAAGTTCATTTCAACCAAAGCAGAAATGGCAAGAATATAAATGATCCTAAATTGTAGGATGGCCTATCAAATGCAATGAAATGCTGTATGTCCTTTAACCATTTTAAGAAAGAAACAAGGAAGTATCTAATTAATATTATGTAGTCATTTTTACATCTAGTAAACTTAGTATACATTTTTGCATGGTTCTTCATTCTAATTAAGCCATTTATGTTTGAGGATACTGTTAATACTAATGTGATGTACTTCTGTAATACATACAGTACCACTAACCAAATGAATAAACATTTTAGTCGTCTACACTCTTCAGCATTAATTTATCACTTTAGGAAACTGTTTACTTATTATTATTTATTTTTTTTTCAACAGCCTAACTTTGGTTACATCTGTTCACAGGGATGGCTAGAAGGATAGCTGTGTGGGTGTACTGGATGAATACCCCAGATTTATGCTGGAGTGAGAAGCTGCAGGGTTGTTGATTACACAAGTCACTAAAAGTGGCCATGTCTCCTTTGGGAGCCACGCTGACCTAGAGACATAAGTCTGTAATTACTCTAGATGGTGTAACACTTATGGACCCAACACTAACATTAGTTGAACACGCTACAACACCAACAAGAAAACTGTCCGTGTCGATTTGGTAAGCACGAGGCATTCAACAACAGTGAATTCCTACATGTGGTGAGGAACTCTACTCACAAGTTCACAACTTTTTATACTCACAACACAGTGAGTACATGTGAAATATTTATTACAGCACTGCCCACTGTACAAGAGCCTAAATGAGTAGATGCCATAGGCACAATAAGAGACCACTGTACTCACCTAGTTGTGCTTGCGGGGGTTGAGCTTTGGCTCTTTGGTCCCGTCTCTCAACTGTCAACAGTATGAACATCAAGAGGTCCATGGCTATTCAATACTCTCCCGGCAAACATATGAAATATTGCCAGAACAAAGTTGGGCTTAAAAAAAAAGTAATTAGACAAATTCCAGGAAGAAGTGCCAGACCAACAGGGTTGTAGTGGATATGTGGATCTGTGAGCCATTTCAAATAACAAACAGCGTGTTGGACTAAACCATCACAAGTCAAGCCTGGCCCCAGGCTGGGCTTGGGGAAGTAGAACTAGAACCAGCTACAGGTATACATATATTATTCAATTTGTATAAAGCTGAAAATAATAACCATGTACCTCTGTGGTGGTGACATGGGCCTCCTCCGGGGACTCGAAGATCTCCTTACTCTTGGACTAGGTGACCTACGCACTCTTGGACTAACAGAACGTCTTCCTCTTGGACTGGGTGATCTACGTCCCCTGAGAGCGGGAGACATGCGATTTCTAGGGCTAGGAGATCGTCTGCCTCGTGGGCTAAGCGACCTTCCTCTTTTTACATGTGGCGACATTCTACCTCTTTGCATAGGTGATCCACGCATCCGAGGACTTCCCTTAGGACTTATGGATCTCCTGCCACGTGGACTAGGTGATCGCCTGATGAACCTTGGGCTTGGAGTATGACGCCGTGGGCTGGGGAGGTGAATAATATACATACAGTAAATTAACTCTTAAAGAGGGGTTATCACCATACGTTGATGCACGAGGCAATGCAGTTATTGTCATGTTGATTTAAATTATTATTGTCTGGGTTTTACATGTATGATAATATGGATATAATAGCTCTATGTGAATGCAATGGAGTTTACCTTGACACACAAATTCTGTAATTGCTCATCTCCTTTATATGCTCTCCTTATTAGAATGCTGAATAGTAAAAATTGCTGCCATACTAGCACTTGCCATACATACACACTTGCCATACTAGTATCTCGTATCCAAAATTATCCAAATAATGGGAGCACCCAAGTATTATGATCACATAAATGCCCTCACTTTTAGGTCAACATGATTAGGCTCTTGAAATATTTGAGATATGGTTAAGTAAAAAACCAGTCAATGTTAGAGGAACACACTACTTCATTTATAGCCAATATGATAAAGGTGTTTGAATACTGAATGAGTTGTGTCATGAGAAAGAAGGGGGGAAATATGATACTCCTACTAGGAAATATCTATATTTAAAAAGAGTACTGCATAATTATCATTCTATATTTCTAAATAATTCTTAGTCATTAAAGGCTTCAGTCATTGCATTGCATCCACTTTAGAATGACAAACTACAAACAAAAACCAACTAACCTTCGGCGGTATCGTGGTGAAGGAGACCTCCTACCCCTTCGAGGAGAAATAGATCGTCTATTAATGTGTGGAGCATTTCGACGAGGGGGACTTCCACCACCCCCACCACCACCACCTCTATGGTCACCAGTGAAATGCCGAGATGGTCCCTGTTAAACCACCCCTTGGATAAGTACAGTATATAAATGATAAACCTGAAAAATTATTGTAATAAAAATATATTCACTCTCCAAAGCACGAATCAATAAGCAAGTTGATTACCAACCTCTCGATTTACCTCATCTTCTGAACTGGAAGGATCTCTGTTGGATCTGTACTGCCTTTTCTTCAAGACAGAATCTTCTTTTCGATGAATCTCGAAATCATCATCTTTATTTCTTGGGGCTGATCTACTCCGAGACCTTGAACCACTTTTGAGAGAAGGTTTGCGGGGCTTTAATACACAGGTAAAACATTCAACAACTTATGATGTTATGAACACACTAGGGCTTTGTCAAGAAAACATTTGAGTTCTACAAAATAAGAGAAAACCTGAAGCATAATTATGAAAGCAAAATGATGGAGTTAATAAATTAAAATTATCATTAAAACGTAAGAAATGGATGAGATGTCATCAGGGACAGCATGCAGATACTAAGTAAATGTAGATAGATATTTAAAGATCAAATAGATGTAACCTATGCTGTGGATGTTGAATTCAAACCTGCATGCCAATATTTTAACACAAAAATTCAAATTATGTGAGGATGATCAAATTACATAACATTTTTGTATTACTGTCCATTCTTGCATCAAGGGATCTCAAGTCTTCAGCAGCACACTATGTACAGTTTTTGTGGCTGGAAAGTTACTTAATTATAAGTACCAATACTCAGCGAAGTATTTAATTGAAAAAGAAGTAGGAAAAAAGGAGTTCTGTAGAATGCATTCCTACTTTCCTCAAATACAATAATAAATTTTTCTATTTATGAGAATCTTTAGGGATGCATCCCTTATGAAGATCAAATGGCCACCTACACAAGACTTTAATGTAACATTCTTTGCTAACTTACCTGGAAGACTCTGAGTTTGAGCTGGGTGAACGTGAAAGCCGTCTGCGCACTTTAGGCCTTGGCGACGACGATCGTTTACGTGGACTTCCTGGTCTCTTGGGAGGAGTTGGCGAGCGCTTACGTGAAGGAGAACGCTTGCGTGGAGTGACTGATCTCTTGCGGATACTGGGAGAACGTTTGCGGGGAGTGGGTGTTCTTTTCCGAGGGCTCTGTGATCTCTTTCGAATACTGGGTGACCGCTTACGTGGACTAACTGATCTCTTCCTAATACTAGGTGACCGCTTCCGAGTAACTGGTGAATGTTTTCGAGGACTCGGAGATCGTTTTCGGGGAGAATTCCGACGTCTGCGATCATCTTCCTTTCTCGGAGATTTGCCCCTGGGAGATTAAAATGAAATGGCATTTTTTATTTACTCCATTACACACATTAATGCAATTAGCAGGCATTTGCCTTTACTGGCATTAGCATAGGTCTATAGCCAAGTCCTCCCACCTTCATAAAGAATAGCGTAATTTACACCTCTAAATACAATAATGGTTATTTAACACCTTTGCTCTCCATTAACGCTACTGGCGTTCAAAATTTTTCTCTCGCGTCCGAGTCGGTGACGCGAAGGGGGGGGATGGTTAAGACATGGGATGGGGTGGGGCAGAGACAGACTATCCTGGCCACTGATGGGTTCAAGTTTCCCAATATTTAAAAAAAAAAAAAAACATTAACCTCCACTTCATAAATACTTTTAAGCCTTTATTTTACTTAGCATGACACAATCTGTTAAAATGCTTACAAAATTCTCATTCAAAATTTCTCAATTAAATTCTTTTGTAAATTAATTTAAATTTATCAATTATATCTTAATCATTGTCTTTTCACTAAACAAAATCTTAACTACTGCTTTGCTCTCTTTTCTACCGGAAGAAAAGTATTTTGTTAACCTTGGCAAAATGCAGAATAGCGGAATATTTCCACCATTCTGAAATAGTGGAAATATGCAAATGCAGAATATTTGGCAAACAGACCACCGGTTACCTGTCGGTTCGTTTGCTTTTCCTGTCTCGGGAATGCCCACCGTCTCCTCTATCTCCTCTATCACTGCGTTCCTTCTTGGGAGTAATTTCAGGCTTCTCTTGTTTGACTGGCGCGTCATGCTTGGGCGATGATTCACGTTTGGGTGACTTGGCAGACGACGATTTCTCTTTAGTCGTAGCTTCCCCATTTGCTTCTTTCTTCTCCTCTTTAATTTTGGTGTCCTCTTTTTTATCCCATCTAGAGAAAAAATAAGGAACAAATATAATTACAAGTTAAATAAATACAGCATCCCACACACACACACACACACCTATCTGATGCAACAGTTTACCAGTTGATTGATGGTTGAGAGGTGGCACTAAAAAGAGCCCAAGCTTAACCACAACAATCACAATGAAGTGAACACATGTTCAGAGGCTGGAGCATGGGGGCAAAATTGGTGCTGGATAGAATTTCTTTAATCAGGTTTTGCCATTAGACATTCTTTATAATGGGTCCAACTTTCTATATTGCTTGGTACACTATGCCAATAATGCATGGGGAAAAAAGGAGTACTATTATACTGCTCCAAACAAGTTTTTAATGATTTTCCTAAATGAGTACAATCTTAAGAGGAAAAGGGTGGTATCATAAGAAATCACTGAAGAGGAAAGAAACTATAGGGAGAAAGCACCAAGCCATTGCAACTACCTGTATATAGAAAGGATCAGAACATGTATTTGGGATGGGATGGGGCGAAGGAATGGTGCCCAATCTCTTTGACGGTTAGGGATTGAACGCCAACCTGCATGAAGCGAGACCGTCACTCCACCATCCAGCCCAAGTTTATGGTTCACTTTCATTTATTATTTCTTTTAATTTTACTCAATGTGTTTTGTACATAACCACTGTACTCACAAGGACACGACTAAAATTTTGAGCAATCTACAGTAGCTAGTGCCACTGAAGATCATCCATCAATTTCCAACACCTACACATCACCTACTGCTCCTCCTTCCTTTAGGCGTTTTGAAGCGAGTCATGGTCCAATTCATAGGCCAATTAATACAAATTTATCAGGTAAACAGAAAGATTATATCAAATGTCCTGTGAAAATATGATTTTTTTATGGTCTAGGAATGCATACCCCCATTTATAACACTGAACCTATGAAAATATCTGGTTCAGAATTACATTCAGCTTTCAATGCATCCCATTCGTAAGTTGGGGACTCCCTATACTGTACTTTCAAGAAATTTCCAAGACTTAATAAATATAAACTTACGTTCCTACAAGAAACTCCAAAAGTTAAGATTTATGCTAACATTTATGATATTTTTTAAAAAGACTAGTACTTACCTAGAAGAATCTTTTTTTGTGTCCTTTTTGTCATCTTTGGAACGCGGCGAGCGAGACCTGTCCCGGCGAGAATTTCTAGAAGATCTATCTCTGCTGCGACTCCTCCTGGAAATCGAAACCGTAATTTATTGGTTCAGCAAACAAACAAACTAGCACCCAAGCTGTAACCTAAGTAAACAATTTGACTCATCATGAATGTTGATCGCCAAAGAAAAAAATGGATCTATCCTAAATCATGTAACCATAATACACTAGAATTGTAAAAGCTTATGTATCAACAAATTTTCATTGATTATACCAGGGCTAAAATTTAGACTTAAAAGGTCTAAATTAATTACTAGTAACTGGTCAAAACCTCAATTATTGGTTATATTCTTGATAGTGTAAGGAAATTGCATCTGTTATGATAAGCTCTAAATTTTTGCCATGTGAAGCACATACAGTATTAAGATTAGTATCGGATCCACACAAATTAAATTCAAGAAATAATTTTTATGCATACCTTCAGTGGGAGAAATCTGTGAATATTGCAAAGTATACTTTATATAAGAAATAGATAAATTAAAAGTAACATTTTTAATCTGATCAGCAATTATTAGTCTATTCATTATATAATCCATACTATAGCACCATGTCTAAACAAGCAGCACCACACTACAGCACAAATTTACAGCAGCAACCTAATGTTTCACAAGCTCACGTGTACTACACTCCATGCGAGTCAGCATATACAGCACAAATACGTTCACAACCTCCTTGCAACCCTTGCTGCATAGCCTTGTCCCTTATTCCATCCTGTGCATTGTTCAAAATCAACAGCCACTTCTCACACACTGCCTCACCATGTTATTCCAAGTCTTCCACTTTAATCATGCTCAAAATTACTATTATACACGCTCTGTCAATCATCATCTTCCAGTCAACATGCCCATATCATCTCCAAACATTATACAGTACCATTGAAATTTTTGTTCCTTATTATTTTATGTCTATTCTACATCACAGACTTCTATGAATACAAATTACCTATCTCTTCGGTCCTTCTCTCTATCTTTATCACGATCACGGTCCCGTTCTTTTTCCTTTTCCTTGTCTTTATCTCGTTCTCGTCGAGCTTCTTGAATCTTCTGCAACCTTTCTTCTTCTTCCTGAAATTTAAATCCAAAGTTACATTAAATATTGGCTTATAATTATTTACAGCAACCTTGTAAAACATGCTGTTAATGATTTACTTGTTTTACCTGAACAAAACAGGACAAACATCCAAGTCATACAGGATAATAGTCAATGACAAAAGTTGATATACATCATGCATCCATTCCTGAATATAAAATATAGCATTTTATGAGATAACTAATATAATAATTTTACTTCAACCAGCTCAACAATATGAACACTATACTTTGCATACTCAATGGAGATTGACAACACAGTGATGTGATCCTGTGGTCCCGGGTTCGATCCCGGGCGCCAGCGAGAAACAATGGGTAGTGTTTCTTTCACCCTATTACCTAGGTGTTAGTCAGCTGTCACGGGCTGCTTCCTGGGGATGGAGGCCTGGTCGAGGACTGGGCCGCGGGGACACTAAAGCCCCGAAATCATCTCAAGATAACCTCAAGAATCATCTCAAGATAACCTCAAGAATCATCTCAAGATAACAGTATCCTCTCTAGTCTTTTACGGACAACTCAATACAAACATTATAATAATAAAATGAACGATTACAAACATTATACTATGTTGCCTCTAAATGAGAAATGTCTGTTTTGAGATTGGAGGCCAGGCTATGGGGCTTCACCAAACTTTTGCAGGGCTTTTTGTGATTATGTAGCGAGTGTCATAGGGTGGTTGAGGGTCGACTCCATGCCCTCTAAGTAGGATTGGTTCCTATTACCACACCCAATGACTCCTATCAAGTTTGAAATGTGGATCAGACTGTCCATAGCTATGTGCTCAGCAATATATTTCATGGCTGCTATCGACCAATTCAACATCGATAATGTGAATTAACTGTACTTGAGCATGTTTTGACCATAGGGAGGAAAGGAGGGAGGGAGAATGGGAGGAAAGGGAGGGAGGGAGATTGGGAGGAAAGGAGGGAGGGAGATTGGGAGGAAAGGAGGGAGGGAGATTGGGAGGAAAGGAGGGAGGGAGATTGGGAGGAAAGGAGGGAGGGAGATTGGGAGCAAGAGAAACAGAGACCCAGGAAGCACCAGGTAACCCATCTATCTAGAAAAAGCAAATGGACATCTGTCAAAGGATGGAAGCCACATGCCCGAGGCTAGCCTCCCACAACTTTGCACTACGACTGGTTATTTTATGGAATCTCATAGGGATGTCAAGTTCATTTACAATGCTGAAGAGTGTTGTGAAAATGCACGAGTAAAAATCATCCAACACCTGGAGTACCAAGTGTGGGAGCTTATATTATAGCAGAGCGGCTCCAAGACCAAGGATATCTGTACTATTTCAGTTCAGTTGGGGGCCAACTACTGTTTAATAGTTTATGAGGTGCGGGACAACCTGTGGTGCATCATCAATGTGGTGACCATGATAGTAACAATTCAAGCAGACCACTTAAAGCATCCACTGGCATCAAGGTATGTGGTGTCAACTAATCTGAGTTGGCTACGCTTATTCATTATAAAGAAACTTACAGCAGTAGTTTCAGTAGATACAGTAGAAATTATTTAATTACAATAGAAACACTCCTTTTACTATCTATGCACGTGTTGAAAGTTTAAAGTCAATAAGCAAAAGCACAAAATAACGAGTAGAAACCCAAGGGAAAAACTGTGAAAACTGGATGGAACCTCTACCTAAAATGTTTCATTTTTTACTTAAATAATCCCATGGAAATTGTAAAACAAAGATTCAATCAAAACAAAATAGAAATGCATGCAGTCTATTTACCATTTTCTTTTTAAGTTCTTCTTTTTTCTGATCAAGGAACTGCTTTGGTATGCCTGATGGACTGGCTTGGGCAGAAAGCAGGAGATCCCACATTTCTCCCATGAATATGCGAGCATTTTTACCATTGAGGAAGCCCGTCAACATGATCTGCATTTTTCTGGGATCTGGATTCTGGAAGACATAATATACAACTTTTTAAAATACACAGGCATAGCACTTTATTATGATCAGGCTTCACCGTACTTGGAGAAGCAATACACTGATTAATTTACACAACCATGACCAGTACATGATTTGCTTTCACAAGAACAACACACCATTCGGTATAAAACTTGTACAAATAAAGCAGTTTACTCTGGTGGCTTAGCTTCAATGTAAATTCACTACGAGTTACAGATAACCACCAAGATGGGTATGGAGATTGCCCCATGAATTCATCTTAAGCAGACTGTTACAGGATTGCCCCATGAATTCATCTTAAGCAGACTGTTACAGGAGACTAACACACCAAACCTGAGAGAGCAGCACAGACTCCCACTACAAAGCTGAAGTGCAGCATCACTCTCCATCCTCCTCCTAGAAGGCTGAGTCAATGTCAATATCAGTCGCAAGTTAATTATCTTCAAAATTATTACACTAATATAGCATTGCCATTTGATTAAAAAATAAATGCATCTAAAATAATATATCTACCCTGACTACTGCCACCTAGTGCCAGAATATCAATGATTTAATGTTTTATAATTGATACTGTATTTAATTCAATAATGCTTAAATATCATCAATACACAAAAAACTTAAGTCATGACAACAACCAAGATTTACACAAGACATGTATATTAAATAAAACAAAAGTACATCACAAAAATTAAAGTGCATAATGAGTCTACATGCCAAGATGACATAGGCTTATAACCTAACCCAAGCATGAAAACGAAAGTGAATGTTTTGACCCTTTCCAGACCCTCAAGTCAAAATTGAGGCAAGATCAATACTAGAAAAGGGACCAGGATGGACCAAAACATCATCACTTTCATTTCGTGTGTATGCTTTAGGTTATTTTGAGCCACATTTTGACTTCCTTTGACATAGGTATATATATATATATATCCCTGCTGTGACAAACTGCCACTTTCCACACACAGGCAGGGTGGTGCATGCACAAAAATTCTGGAAATAATTGCTCAAAAGTTATCATGTAACAAAAACTAACCAAAAGATAGAAAGGTATGGTGAAAGGAATGCAAAAAGGGTGGGAGGTAGGAGGCAGTTACAGGGTGGGAGATGGGAGGCTGTTAAAGGGCAGGAGAGAGAAGGTACAAGTGAGGGCAGGAGGGAGAGGGAGAGGGGGGGAGAGAGGAAGAGAGAGATGCCACAAAGATGACAAAGGATAGAGAAGGTGAATAATGAATCTAAGGAGAGAAAAGTGCAGGGAGAAAAACGGATTTAAGGGAATCATGCCAAAATACCTGCCATTTTTTACCATTTTTTTATTATCACCAGAATGATAAACTAACTGCAGCAATAAGGTTTATTTAGATTCTTATAATACCACCCCATCTAGTTTGCTCAATATACGGGAGTTGGAAACCTTTTAAACTTTGTTACTATATGAACATTACTGTATTAATATTAACTGAATAAAATGTAATTTAAAATGAACAGACGTTTGTTAATTTGAATAAAACTTTCATTTTCATTGAATGTGATTTTATTGCAAAGAATTTTAGATGTAAAATAGTGCAAAGCAAATGAATTCTTAGTAATAAGAAGTGAACATAAAAATTATTTATATATACAGGTATATATTTCTAGCCTTAACCCTTTGAGAGAGTAATAAAGAGTAATTCTGTCAGTCCCGAGTCACCACTGGGTGAAATTTGGTAAATATTTAAGGAGAAATTCCACATACTGCACTTATGTGGATGTACAAAACTTCACATTAAATTCCGACATATAATTTCTGTATAATAACAAATCATTAAGTTTGAATGTATAAAAGTGAATGAGACATGTGGCCCCTTCATATTAAGAATACTGTATACAGTACAGTAGGAGGGGTACCATCTCTGGTGCAAGTGCAGGGACTCATAACCTCGGAGAAGAAAATAAAGAGTACTCAGAGAAGACCTTGTGGATCCTCACTGAACACTGATATTTTCTTCTACAAAATATATTTGGGTTTGAAGTATTGAGACAATTCTGACTTTCCTTCTTTTACTGAATAGTTCCAGTACAGTGCAGTGTATATTAAATTGTAACTTATCCAAATTTCAGGAACCCATATCAGAATGTAATATAAATTTTGACATGAAAATTATTAATATATTTTTGAATTAAATATTTAACGCGTTTGCAAGCAGGAAACGAAACATTTTTCACAAAATATTACACAAATTACAGTGGTGACCCAGGATACAGAGTTGCACCCTTTAAGGGTCAAGGACAAAAAAAAAAAAAAATCTTGGCATGACACCCTTAACAATGTAATTGCCGAGGTAAAGGCTTGACACCTCAACATGTGAAAAGTAAGATAGTTTTGCAATTTTTCTGTATAACTTAAGAGAAAGTCATTTTTTTGGCACTGTCCTAATTTTTGAGAAGGAAGTTCCCCCACTTTGGATAAAAAAGAATTTAAGGCCCTTAATTTGTTTGCAATTATATTTAAAATCAATAAATGAAACACATTTCAACATGAAATTTAAAATGTTGTCAAATGTGTAGCATTTATTTATTCCAGTCATGATATAATTATCTTGACTCTTATTGAATGTATTGTTAATGATGAAGCAAATTTTAGGTATATTTATCTTAACTTGACCTAACAACACACTAGTCTTTTCCTTACAGTCAGCCTTAAAGGATTTGGAATCCTCCTGGGGTATGTAGGCTATCCTGAAACATGTTCAATTTGGCGTAAGAGACATTTGTACCTTAAATATCTTATGGCATTACGAGCCATTTGTGGGGAAGGTGAGGACTGCTGTGCACGACGTAGAAGCTCTTGGCAAAGACTCAATGTTTTTCATTCTTGAATTCAACTTGGTACGGCATGGAGACCCATGGAATGCTTTCTCCAAGCCAAAGATTCCCGGATCCTCGGATGATGACCAAGGCCAAGCCAGCATTGGCCTGGGACTTCAGACTATCTTCATTTAAAGATGGTGGAAGCCTGGAAGAGTCCAGACAGAGCCTGGAATCCAGGTTGGTGTCTCACACAGACGGCCAACAGTAACCCAGATTCCAGACCCTCGATGACAGAGGCTTTTACCAAGGACGTTTATCCCCGGTCAAGCTTCTAATGAACCAGGCAAGAGGCCCAGTATCCTCCAGATGAGCACCGCAGGAAGTGTGATGAGGAACCCAGACTGCTCCAGGCACTTATGCCCAGAGCAATCCAAGTACTGTAGATGAAGATCGGCTGTGAAGGAGATTTGGCCCAGTCACCCCAGGCCTAATGCCCAGGTAGTTGTCGCATGTAGATATACCAGGCCATGGCCCAGTTTCCCAGGTCATGTGCCCGAGTGAAAGATGCTATCCAAGGTGTCGGAGATCACTTCCTCACAGGGGGCCAAGGCAGAGGTGCCTCAGACACCTGGGAGAAAGAACCCAGACAAGGAGAGAAGACCAGCCCCCATGAGATGGGCCAGCCAGATGCAGACGAGGACACTACCCTACAGGTAGCCTGGAGCAGGTCGCTGGCTGGGGCGCCTCCACCATGGACCAACACCCCTTTGGCATTACTTGCTATTACCAGGAAAGATTGGCAATGTCAGATCAAATTCTGGTTAAGATACAAAAACATTGTATCTGCGTACTAAGAAACGCACAAACATTCACACACCCAAACATACAAGGAAAATACTTAGGATGAGTATGAACAACTTCCATACTTATCCTTTGGAATTTAGTTAGGATATGTGGACTTCTGATTTAGAGAAAAAAAATTATGACAGTCATTCTTTACCACATTCCCAACACTCAGTCTTTGTACACAACTCTTCCCCCATTTACACAAGACTCACCTTTTCTGCTTCCAACTGATTGAAGACATATTCTATAACAACATCATCCTCTATGCCTAAAATGGCAGTAATTTTTTCCGTAACCCAAGGTTTGACCACTTCCAGGCGCACTTTGGTCATATCAACCTGCAAACAATAAAATACTAGTAAACCATTTTTTTTATAACGCAGCTACAATAAAAATCATTAATATAAATAAAAAGATCTTAAAATACACATCTTATACTGCATAAGAGAAAACTAAATGATTTCTCCACACATTAGCAAGTAGAAAGCAGTTAAACTAAATAAAACTAAACTAGAACAATGTGTACTTATTATAGGTACGGAGAACAAATGACTAAATCCCACATGAAAAAATTTTGAAACGACGAAGTTTTCGGTCTGTCCTGAACCATCATCATGATAATGGTCCAGAACAGACCGAAACTTTTATCGTTTCTCCACTGTCTGATGTATGATTTAGTCATAACCTCAGCCACGTTATTGTGATTCACCATCTGCATATTAGATCAGGAAAAAAAAAGGGACAAATTAAAATATAAAACGGCATATATTCTCCCCCCTCCCAATAGCAGCAAGCTGTATTATCAAATGTCCTCAGCATGCAATTTGTGGTGGCAATACTTACAACTGTATTGGTTTCTATTACAACCTAATTATCCCCCTGTTAACCAGAAATTATATTATAGGAAAGGTCTTCTTACTTTTTTGCTTAAACTCTCAGCGAATTTCATCTCCTTCATGAGCTTCTTGTCCTTATTACTGAAGCGATTGTCCTGCTCCGCAGATGTACCCTGGAGAGACGAAACATTATGTACTAGCATACATATCTTATACACCATGTACAAAAAAGTATTACAACAGATTTACATGTACATATTCAGTATTAATAAAAAATAATAACTTTCACATAACCTTTTAGAACAACTTTTAAACATTAGCTGAAAAGAATTAGTAAAACAAATATATACCAAGATTGTTCTTTGAATTCTTCTCATAATGGATCAGCGAGTGGTCAGGACATAGTGGGTTGGGAAGGCGGGAAATATTACATATGTTTTGGGGCCGAGTTATTATCCATTATAGTCGTGATTCTTTTGCATTATCTATATTTCTCTAATTACATAGAGACATTGGCAATAAATAAGTTAGAGAAAATCATAATAGGCTTCTTTATTGTTGAAGCATTTTTTTATAGATATTGAATATTTAGGGCTTATTTTGGCTTGTCTATTTTATTCTATACATATCATAGCAAATTATTCAATAAATATTGATCTTAAAGTATCAAGGTGCGATTTCAAAATTTAGACGATAGTGACACGAACTAACGAAAGTATGGCAAATTATTGAGTACGTTATATAATCTAAAAGTTATTTTGGGCAAAAGGTATTTAGTAGAGATTTTTTTTAATGCTAACATATGATTCTAGTGTAGTAGTCAAATAGGCTGTGATTCATACGTCAGGCTGCGAGCAGCCGCGTCCAACAGCCTGGTTGACCAGTCCAGCAACCAGGAGGAGGGGGGGGGGAACATTGAGCCCCGAAATGCATCACAAGGTAGCCATTTGTGAACGTATGGTTTTCAGGACAAATTTTAAAGCTTGTCAAATCTAATATTGGAAAACGAGTTACGTGTTAAATCTCGGTCAAGTAATGTTGGCATCGAGTACGGAGCGTAGGTCATTGGGTAGGGGGTCACATTGTACATAGGTGATGATCAAACTAGGTAACGTAAATTTTATTCAGGAAAGTACATACAGAGTTGTTTTACAAACATAATGTTGGGTTTATAGATAGAGCTAGTACATACATTACCTAAAGCCACTAGTACGCGTAGCGTTTCGGGCACTTCACACCAGATGATGAAGAGACGACATCTCCTCATCTTCTGGCGTGTACTTTCCTCATCACATCATCAGCCACGTTACTGTGACTCATCATCTGCATCTGAACATAAGATATTTAGACAAACTCCATTTTCTAATGGGTGACGCCACATGTAAAACCTTAGCCTCGGGGCTATGTTTGGTTAGGCTGGCCAAGCCACATGGTAGACTGTGTATGCTGCCCGAGGTACAGTGACAAGATACAGTGACTAACATACAGGGCGTCACTATACGCCTCCCCCGACTACTCTAAATAGTCTAACATACGCAGTTATCACCGTGTATAAATACTTCCAATCACAACTGTTTTTAATAACTTGAATTCCCAACTACACTCTAAGAGGCGCATCAATATGCCGCTCCAAGAGGCGGCAGCTATATTGATGCTGCGCTCAGGCGAGATATTAAATCCACACTTGTAGAAAGATTAATATGGGAGGGTTATTTTGGCGGCCATGTTGACCAGACGCTACCCCACACTCTCTCTCCCACACCACCACGCCCAGCCCTCCCATGCTACTCCCACCCCACACTCCCTCGGCTCACAACCCCCTACAACACTTGTAACTCACGCGGAAGAAGCCTGCGTCTGCCATAATGAAGAGACTGAGGGCCTGGGAGGAGGACACGTCGCACACAGCCTCCCCGTCCGGTGTCTGGGCCGGTACTGGCCAAGAGGCTCAAGCAGGGTTGCCAGCTCCAACTTGTAGAAAGTAGCGGAGTTGACGGGCTAAAAGTAGCGAATTTGGCATAAAAAGTAACCCAATTTTTTGTTTATTGACTAATATGGGTTTCCAGTAATATATTTTGATATATAGAGAGTACACAATGTTAATTATCTAGGGCATAAAAGTATTTATGTGTACGTCTGATACCATACTACTTGTGTAAAGGAGGAAATGTATATGTTTATCTCTCAGAATGTTTGGTAATATGTTTATTGTTTGTGATGTGTGTCTATGTATGTATTAACACGATGTACTGAACGGGGTGAGAATAGCTTGAGCTACCTCATCCCTTTGTGTGTATTTTACCTCAATAAAACTTATTTCAATTCAATTTCAATGTTAATTGTTTTATTATTATTTCTGCACACACACACACACATAATATATATTATATTATATTATATTATATTATATTATATTATATTATATATTATATATATATATATTAAAAAATAATAATAGGATAAGTTACCAATATTTACTGTATGAAGTATAATGGGTGTGGAGTCCTTTCAGGCCTTCATAGCTGTAGATTATCAAGAAAATCTTCGATCAAGAGACGCCAATATAAAACACACATGCGCTGGCGTGTGTTCGCTTCGCTTCTCGTCTGCAAAGATAATAAAATGCCCATTAGAAATTGAGAAAAAGTTAAAATTGCGAATAATATGATAGCAAATGATCTTATTATTATCTATCAGCGAGGGGTTTGTCTCTTATTACAGAACGAATAGACTCAAGATGGTGCAAACAATACAACTGCAATAATCCATTGGATTATTTGCAATGTTTGCAACTAGACCGTAGTTGCACACTTTATTGATTTTTTGCCGACAGAGGTGAATAGTTCATTGAGCTTCCCAAATTCAACCAGCGAGTGGTAGTTTATTGTGCACCCCGAAGCCCGGTTGTGTATAGGAACCCGACCAGTTGTATAACCGCAAGCCTAGCATTTACGAACCAAACAACCTCTGAAGCACAACCATGCATGAACCGAAGTCCGACTATGCACAACCCGAAGCCCAAATGACACCCCCATAGCCCGAACAGTTGTGCAAATGAACCCGACCAGTTGTGTAACCGAACCCCCACCGGTTGTGTAACCGCAAGCCTAGCATTTACGAACCAATTAACTTCTGAAGCACAACCATGCATGAACCGAAGCCCGACCATGCACAACCCTTAGCCCAAGTGACACACCCGGAGCCCGACCAGTTAAGTAACCGGAGCCCGACCAGTTGTGTAACCGGAGCCCGACCAGTTATTTAACCGGAGCCCGACCAGTTGTGTAACCGAAGCCCACCAGTTGTGTAACCGGACCCCGACCAGTTGTGTAACTGAAACCCCACCGGTTGTGTAACCTTAAGCCTAGCAAGTATACATCTCATCTAACCCCCAAGCTAAACAGCCGCAGAGCTCAACCAAACAAAAATCACCTTAGCCCTACCTAAAACCCTCCACTTGTCCTAGAAAACAACCATGGAGGCCTAGCAAACAAACCTGGAGCACTAGTACATAAACAACACCTGGAGCACACCCATGCCCGACCTGGAGCCCGACCATGCACAACTCAAAGCCCAAGATATCACACCCCGGAGTTATGTAACCGGAGCCCGAACCAGTTGTGTAACCAGACCCCGACCAGTTGTGTAACCGAAGACCTGGCAGTTGTGTAACTGGAACTCTACCAGTTGTGTAACTGCAAGCCTACATCAAACAAACAAAACCTGAAACACAACCATGCACGAACCGAAGCCCGACCATGCACAACCATTAGCCCAAGCAACACCCCCGGAGCCCGACCAGTTAAGTAACCGGAGCCCGACCAGTTATTTAACCGGAGCCCGACCAGTTATTTAACCGGAGCCCGACCAGTTGTGTAACCGAAACCAGTTGTGTAACCGGACCCTGACCAGTTGTGTAACCGCAAGCCTAGAATGAACGAACCGAACAAAACCTCTGAAGCACAACCATGCACGAACTGAAGCCCGACCATGCACAACCCGAAGCCCAAGTGACATCCCCGGAGCCCGACCAGTTATTTAACCGGAGCCCGACCAGTTGTGTTACTGGACCCCAATCAGTTGTGTAACCGGACCCCGACCAGTTGTGTAACTGGAACCCTGACCAGTTGTGTAACTGCAAGCCTAGCATGAACGACCCGAACAACAACTCTGAAACACAACCATGCACGAACCGAAGCCCGACCATGCACAACCTGAAGCCCAAGTGACACCCCCGGAGCCCGGAGCCCGACCAGTTATTTAACCGGAGCCCGACCAGTTGTGTAACCAAAGCCCGACCAGTTGTGTAACCGGACCCCGACCAGTTGTGTAACTGGACCCTGACCAGTTGTGTAACCGCAAGCCTAGGATTTACGAAGCAAACAACCTCTGAAGAACAACCATGCACGAACCGAAGCCCGACCATGCACAACCCGAAGCCCCAGTGACACCCCCGGAGCCCGACCAGTTATTTAACCGGAGCCCGACCAGTTGTGTAACCAAAGCCCGACCAGTTGTGTAACCGGACCCCGACCAGTTGTGTAACTGGACCCTGACCCGTTGTGTAACCGCAAGCCTAGGATTTACGAAGCAAACAACCTCTGAAGAACAACCATGCACGAACCGAAGCCCAACCATCCACAACCCGAAGCCCATGTGACACCCTTGGAGCCTAACCAGAGCCCAACCAATTGTGTAACCAGAGCCTGAACAGTTATGTAACCAGAGCCTGAACAGTTATATAACCGGAGCCCGACCAGTTGTGTAACCAAAGCCCGACCAGTTGTGTAACCGGAGCCCAACCAGTTATTTAACCTCAAGCCTAGCAAGAATGAACCGAACAAAAAAATCTGAAGCACAACCATGCATGAACCGAAGCCCGACCATGCACAACCCAAAGCCGAAGTGACACCCCCGGAGCCCGACCAGTTAAGTAACCGGAGCCCGACCAGTTATTTAACCGGAGCCCGACCAGTTATTTAACCGGAGCCCGACCAGTTGTGTAACCGAAGCCCACCAGTTGTGTAACCAGACCCCGACCAGTTGTGTAACCAGACCCCGACCAGTTGTGTAACTGAAACCCCACCAGTTGTGTAACCG